GGCTGCAGCCACTTTACACGGAAAAACACAAGGTTTCGTGCTCCGGCTTCCTCCCCAACACAAAGCCCATGCAACATCATGCAGCCATTCCAATGCGATCTGCTACCACCGCTTCAAGAAACGCATAGAACTACGCACACAGGAACAACCACTCGTTGCAAAACACATAGGAGGAACAATTCGCGACAGAAACGACCGCAGCCGCAACCGCCGCACAGACGAGGTACCTTTCATCGTCGGCTGCAGCCACTTTACACGGAAAAACACAAGGTTTCGTGCTCCGGCTTCCTCCCCAAAACATAGCCCATGCAACATTCATGCAGCCATTCCAATGCGATCTGCAACCACAGCTTCAAGAACCGCGTAGAACTACGCACACAGGAACAACCACTCGTTGCAAAACACATAGGAGGAACAATTCGCGCATGAAACGACCCCAGCCGCACCCGCCGCACAGACGAGGTACCTTTCATCGCCGGCTGCAGCCACTTTACACGGAAAAACACAAGGTTTCGTGGTCCGGCTTCCTCCCCAAAACATAACCCATGCAACATTCATGCAGCCATTCCAATGCGATCATGCAACCAGAGATTCAAGAACCGCATAGAACTACGCACACAGGAACAACCCCTCGTTGCAAAACACATAGGAGGAACAATTCGCGCATGAAACGCCCCCAGCCGCACCCGCCGCACAGACGAGGTACCTTTCTTCGCCGGCTGCAGCCACTTTACACGGAAAAACACAAGGTTTCATGCTCCGGCTTCCTCCCCAAAACATAACCCATGCAACATTCATGCAGCCATTCCAATGCGATCTGCAACCACAGCTTCAAGAACCGCATAGAACTACGCACACAGGAACAACCACTCGTTGCAAAACACATAGGAGGAACAATTCGCGACAGAAACGACCCCAGCCGCAACCGCCGCACAGACGAGGTACCTTTCATCGCCGGCTGCAGCCACTTTACACGGAAAAACACAAGGTTTCGTGCTCCGGCTTCCTCCCCAAAACATAGCCCATGCAACATTCATGCAGCCATTCCAATGCGATCTGCAACCACAGCTTCAAGAAACGCATAGAACTACGCACACAGGAACAACCACTCGTTGCAAAACACATAGGAGGAACAATTCGCGACAGAAACGACCCCAGCCGCACCCGTCGCACAGACGAGGTACCTTTCATCGCCGGCTGCAGCCACTTTACACGGAAAAACACAAGGTTTCGTGCTCCGGCTTCCTCCCCAAAACATAGCCCATGCAACATTCATGCAGCCATTCCAATGCGATCTGCAACCACAGCTTCAAGAAACGCATAGAACTACGCACACAGGAACAACCACTCGTTGCAAAACACATAGGAGGAACAATTCGCGACAGAAACGACCCCAGCCGCACCCGCCGCACAGACGAGGTACCTTTCATCGCCGGCTGCAGCCACTTTACACGGAAAAACACAAGGTTTCGTGCTCCGGCTTCCTCCCCAAAACATAGCCCATGCAACATTCATGCAACAAAGGTCATCACTTCCCTGTTTCACCACTTCCCTTCGTCACCACTTCCCTTCTCCATCACTTCCCTTCCTCACTACTTCCCTTCATCACCACTCCCCTTCTTCACCACTTCCCTTCTTCACCACTTCCCTTCCTCACCACTTCCCTTCGTCACCACTCCCCTTCATCATCACTTCCCTTCGTCACCACTTCCCTACCTCACCACTTGCCTTCGTCACCACTTCCCTTCGTCACCACTTCCCTTCGTCACCACTCCCCTTCATCATCACTTCCCTTCTTCACCACTTCCCTTCCTCACCACTTCCCTTCGTCACCACTCCCCTTCTTCACCACTTCCCTACCTCACCACTTCCCTTCTGCACCACTTCCCTTCCTCACCACTTCCCTTCGTCACCACTCCCCTTCATCATCACTTCCCTTCTTCACCACTTCCCTTCGTCACAACTCCCCTTCATCATCACTTCCCTTCTTCACCCACCCTGTGTCATAGCTTCTTATTCTTTTGTTATGTATTGTTATGTGATCTACCACCCTTCATCAAGGTCAACTGCATAGCTTCTTATTCTTTTGTTATGTATTGTTACATTATGTATTGTTATGTGATCTACCACCCTTCATCAAGGTCAACTGCATAGCTTCTTATTCTTTTGTTATGTATTGTTACATTATGTATTGTTACATTATGTATTGTTATGTGATCTACCACCCTTCATCAAGATCAACTGCATAGCTTCTTATTCTTTTGTTATGTATTGTTAGATGACTTACCACCCTTCATCATTTCAAGTCTCAGAATTCTATTTGTCCGTAACTCGGAAGTATTGCTTCCCAACTTCCTTTGATTATTTTACACTAGTTTAATCTATATAGTTTATATTTATCACATTACATTATATATATATTATAATTTAACATTTTGCAATATATGAATTATTATTTTTCAATTAGACAGTATATTTTATCAGCTGAATCTATGTGAATTGTCGCGGGGAAAAATAAAAGTCTTATACTACTGTAGATGATTAAGTCAAATTTTAGATACTAGTATTATTTATACTATATTATAATTTTCTGTGCTACATTAAAAATGTATTATACTATTTTAGGTTATTTTGTATATATATATATATATTATATATAAGTATATATATATATATCATATGATATTGTTTTATTACATTTCTTTAAGTACATATTTTACTATACATTGTATTGTGTTTTTTTGATTTATATTGTATTAATTATTTTGTTTAGGATTGTATTGTATTTTTGTACATTGCATTATTTTTTCATACGCATGTATATTATGCACTTGATCTCTCCAATGTGCCCATGCTGGCTCCTAAGGCGCGCTACGCACCCAAGCAGCAGAAATTGGCTATATCGCATCTGAAGGCTGCTTGGATGTTTCCACTACACTGCTTGCTGATAGGCGCTGTTTTTCCCACATGTTAGATTATGTTGGATATAACATGCTATAACTTCAGTGGCCCAAATAACATTCCTCCCGCCAAGGTCGATGAAAAACATATGAATCGCGGGTTGGGCAAGCTGCTACTGGCAGCTGCGGAAGAGCATAGCCATAGATGCTTGGCTGCGGCAACCCGTGTGGCTGATCTATTTCCCACACAGTGTTGGGCCAGGGCCACATGAAGTCATGATGCGCTTTTTTTTTTGGATCCAGTCCCCTCCACAAAAGGAGCACGTTGCAGGGACAATCACTGAAGTTTGTAAATTTTAAGGAGCTACAGATACCCTTACTGTATAGATTTGAAGATATGATAGAGGGATAATACGTGTTTCACGTTTCACGCTGTAATTTCGAGACGCTACCAGTGGCTATAACATGCTGCAACCCACTGTGCATCCTCTCTTCACTTTCATGCATTGACAGCGCGAGACCACCATGCTTTTGTCCTGAGGAATCGGCTGGAAATGCACCAACATATACCTCAGCGTATTGAAAGCTAATGCAACTCGGCTGATGCGACAAGGGTACTGGAAGTTTACCATTGGGGCGTGTGTTGAACGGTTTTTCAGCTGAACTTTGGGACGGAAACTATGTTACAATTCGTCATGGTCCTAACACATTTCCCGGCTCTACCTCGGCAATAAGATAGATTTGGTTTCCTATCTTTGTCGTCCTTTATATTTCCCTTTTTCTCCTTCTATTTTTTAGGCTTGAGAACCCCAACAATTTACCCAACAGGGTGGCCATATCACCACCAAGAACCGAGGAGCGAGCGCGGAGGTGCTATGCCAAAGCTGGATTCAAACTCGAATCAAGCAGAAGCGCCTCATGGGGAAAGAAAGAACATATTGCATCAGACTGGCAGCGATGGAAGAAGGTGCCAACTTGGTCAGTGTGGGTCCCCAAAAAGACAAGTTAACCAACATTGGAAATAGTAGTTATTCGATGTTATTCGGATTTTTTTTTGGGCATCCACGTGACTTTCGTTTTTTTGTTTGAACATGTGGAAATTGTCATTTTTTCTGGCTGACAGTGAGAAAACTGGTGAACCTACGCCACTGACTGTGCTAGTTTTGTGCTATTGTGATCTATTGTGCATATTTGATACTGTTTTGTTTTGACCTGCAATGTTTTCTTTGATGCCCAACAGACTCAAACTTTTTGTCTGTAAAACGCATTGCAATAGCTTGAACCCAGCAGCTCTTCAGGATATGGGATAGAATTTGGCCCTTGCCAAGGTGCACAAGCATGCATACAACAAGAAGGACAAGAAGGCTCCAGTCGCACAGTAGATGCCCTTCCGATGGTCGTTACCGAGTTGCTTTCTACGTTGGCAAGCGAAAACAACTTTAACAAGGATATGCCTGCGGAAACTGCAGGTGTCACCGGGCATCAGTAGCCAAAGACGCTGCTTGAGCCGGACACAGCACATGTAAAAACGAGTCCTGATGTGGAGTTAGGGAAACTTATTATCTAGTCAGTATTGTTGAAATTTGTTGACTTGGGATCATCCTTGATACGAAACCTTTCAACAAATTAAGGGCCACCCTCTATTTGGAAAAACATGTCAAACTGTCAAATGAAGAAGCGAAACAATCTGCTTCATGGATAATCGATTTGGACGCGCACGGCGAATTTGCCATGCCCAGGGCTTCCACCGCAAAGAAATTGAAACTTGAAACTTGAAACATATGTATATATAATATAGTTATAAATTATATATTATATACATTTTGATCATATATATACATATGCATTATATATATATGCATATCTATTTCAGATTATTGATCTATTCTATCAGTTGTTTTTTCTTGATTTATCGCTTGGTCGAGCTACGTAAGGTTTGATCCAACACTGACTACGCAACATTTTCCAAGGAGTTGAACCCCCAAGCCGGCTTTGTATTTTTGGTGGGATGGTTCGAACAGAAATATCAATAAATATGTTGAATCACAATGATTGATGAATCAGAATAGATTGTACGACAACTTTAGTTTTCTGTCGCAGGAGCCAAAGCTACCCTTCGAGAAGATGTTGGAAGTGGATGAAAACCAAATCGTCAACGCCAAGGCGTTAGACCGTTAGACCTTCACTTCGGAAGACTTGTGATGTGTCAAGGAGCTGGGCATTGCCGCAACAGGTGGCACCCTCCGATAATCAATTGCACGCCTGTTAGAGGTTCCATTGCCAGGTTTGATTGTCAGAGTTGCCAGAGTGGTATGAAACCATATATTTTTTTTGGTGGTGGTGATAGAAATCTAAGTGCCTATTTTGTTGCTGACCGGCGTCCCAGTTCTTGAATAGTTTTTCCCTCATTCTGGCTGTTTTTTCTCCATGGTTTTCCAATATTTTGCAGGTCAACACCCCATCACCCAGCCGCTCGCATACGCGCAGCCATGGCCAGGAAGCTGAGCTGATGAAGCCCTTCAAGGTGAAATTTCTGGAGGTCGGCCCTGCCTTTTTTCGGGAAAAAACACATTCTTGGGGTGGGAAATCATAGCCCTTTAGATATTTTTTCAAAGAGAACAAGTCCTTGTTATGTTCGATGATGTTTCTCTATTGATGTTTGGGCTGAAATCACTTGTGTTCAATTTTCCATGCCACTGGTCGGGTGTTGCATTGAAGAAACGTGCGGCTTTGAGCTCCTACTTGTAAGGTCATAGCGACCTCACGTCGCTTTGCGCGGAGTCACTAGAATGATGGCAATGGGAGTGGGGGAACTACCCACAAATAGCCAAACTTTTCAGCTTGGTGACTTGCTCTATACATTGTTTCTACATATTTTGTGTAATTTTGTGTAAATATAGCCATTTTAGCAAAAACTCACAGTTTGACGGTACAAAGTACAAAGATTGAATGTGTTTTAGCTGCCTCTACAAAAACATGGCAACCGGGCAACAATAGCAATGATGTTTGCGTCTGACGTGACAGGATGGTGCAGACAGGACCATGGATAGCAAGGTGCAGATAGCCAAGGTGTGGGCAGGGAGTGGGAACCGGTATGGTCAAATGATGAGCATTTGCATACCGACCGGTCTGCTGGTTCGTTGTATGCGCAGTGGTTTGATGCTCTAGGGATCAACTTTCTGTGAAATTTTGATCACAAGAACTGAAAGTTTAGTTTAGTGATCATTTGTTCCTACAACCCCTGTCAGCAAGCAGGTTTCAGCGTTTTGGTCACTTGTCTTGATTTTGGACAAGCCTTCAGCTTGTTTCATGAAATTCCACCAGTCAGGCTGGTTTCGGACATAAAAAAACGCTTATCAGTCACCTCTGCGTTCTGCGATTGCACATCAAACCCTCAGATCTTCGGAATTTCAGATTCCCCATATATTTTTTCCTGTAAAGTGCACATGATTGGTTAAACCATTGGTTATCCAAGGGTTAAACCATTGGTTATTCATCTTCAATGGTCAACTATCATGGGTTGATCAAGCATGGATGTTGGGGGGTCCATCAGGCTGTCGAGGTGACTGGTGTGTCGAGAGCCAAGTGACTAGTGTACCCTTTGGGTTTCAAATTTGTTGAAGCCATATCTTAACAATGTTTTTTAACATCCAACAATTATTACATAGGAGATATATTATGATATAATCATATCTAATGATTAGATCGTATATATATATATATATATCCATACTATGCCATACCCTAAATCTAAACTCCCCTCCCAAAAAATGGAAGTGAAACGCGACCCAGGTCAGGCCAGTCGACCATTGGCGATTTACGCCTAAAGTTAGCCAAGATGGAAGGCATGCCGCTGGAGGACAGGAAGATCTGAGGGAAGATGCAGAGTTGGTTTAGGAAAAAAAGGGGCATGAAACCCACAAAACACGGCAGATTTGCTTATTGGAAGTACAACTTCCAAGCCAATTTGTTTGTTTTTGGAGGGTGTACCTCCCAAATATTGGGGTCTGGAAGTCTGGAAGAGGATTTTCTTCACCATGTTTATCTTCTGTTTTCTGTATCGATCATCCAGCAAGTTGCTCGTTGATAATGCTGTGTGTCACCAAAGCAATGGTGGATCTTACATGATCTTACCAACTATCAATGTTTCTTGAATGGTCGGGTTCGTACAGTACTAGAGGGCACGGCTTCTCACTGCCGGGCAGGGTTCAAACTTGGGTACTAAAATCCCTTTTAAAGGTTGAATACTTGCAATGGCCAAAACCATCTGAGACCTGTAGGTCCCTATCCTGCTGCTTGCGTGTCCAGGATATCAACGTCTTCGCGGCTGAGACCAATTTGACAGATGAAGTCCAGCTGCACGAATGTTACATGGACCGAAGATGCCGTGAGCAGCGCAGCATCTGGCCCGCTGTCAAAGATGTTTAACCCTGGTAAAGCTTGGTGACCTTGAACTAAACACTGGTTCTCTGAAAAGGGGGAATTTCCACTTCCATGGCTCCCAATTCAGAAGGTATCTAGAAGAAATGGTCTCAGATCCTCAATGAGATGGTTTATAAAGTTGTTCAGTTGTCGATTTGGGGTACACTCCGATTTGAAATTTACAGGGCTATCACTAAACAGATGAGAAACTCGGTCATATCAATTAAACATCCCAATTGTTGGTCGATTTTCCGCATGGCTTTATCACTCCATTTAGGGAAGGGTAAACATTGACAAATGCCGTGGGTGCATTGGTAACCCACTTCAACCCCGTACTCCGATCAGAACAGAACATGGAATGATTGTGAGATTTGTTGTTGGCATGGATCCTGTGGGATTCATTTGATTATCATTGCTTATCATGTATACACTATAGATATCTATAGATCACTATACTTATGCACCCAACTTCCATCAAACTCCCATGGTCTAAAACCCAAATTCCACTTTTTTCCACCGCAAAATTGCTACCACTTGGGGGCCCGGATGTCTCCAGGACTGGATGGGCTCAGGCCTTGATGATTGGCCCCCAAGACTCACAGTGCGACCCTTTGTTGTCAGAATGGGAACATCATGGGCAGCAGAATGATTGGGAACTATTCCCTAAGGATCCATGTATGGAATATTTACCTACATTGGGATTATTTTAAATTACTTTAGGGGTCAATGTAGGTAAATATTCCATACATGGATCCTCTGGGATTGGACATATCCTTCTTCTTATTTTTATTATTATTAATTAGTATTATTGTTGACCACTTTGATTTTCCGAAACGAAGAAATAAAGTATATCAAGGATTATCAAGGGACTTTTATGGACTTGTACGCCCAAAGGATCTCTTCGAGCAGTTCTTTTTTGGAGGCTCGTTCTTGTATCAGATTTTAGTCATATTATTTGTTGGAGGGGTTGAACTGGAACAATCTATTTATCCACGGGCCCTCTGAACAGAGGCTGTTGACGGTTTTATTTGTACTATGGAGCAACAACCTTTAATCTTTTTGGGTGGCCAGAGGGTGCTACATCTTAGGGACTTATGGATTTGGGTGACACAGTCGGTAACTTATTCGTGGATCCAAGTGGGGAGATGATCCAAGCTATATCACGCTAGTTCGGGATATTTTCAGTATAACTGCTTGGTTATAATCCGCTCGTTCGTGAGTCAGGCAGGCAGTGAGTCGGTTTTGTACAGTATGTATGTATATATATATAATATATATATATATTATGATACATACGATATATCTACCATGACATAAGAGTTAGCACTCTGAATTTACATTAATACTGGACCACCATTTCCCCCAGTTGTAACTGGGCTATTTCCATCACCAACCTGGGCAATTCCAAGGTGAAGCCTCGTGTGAAGGGCTTCGAGCTGCACGTCAATGTGCCGCCAATGCTCTGCTCTTGGAGACCCTGGGAGGCTCTGGAGATCCCCGTGACCAGATATTGATGGATTCCTATGGATTCCTGGGATTATAGTGGATATGATGGGAATCCTATGGGGTTTGGGATTCGACTATCAGCAATTTGGATTATATAGTTGAGATTATACTGTCATCGGGATTGTAGTTGAACAATAATTGGAGTAGCAATACCATTAGCCCCAATCTCCTTCTTGGAATGTCTAGATGGAGGGGCAAGAGGTGTTCTTCATTGTTCTATTCTAATTTGCGAATGGTGTTTCTTAATTACGAAGACCCTTAAATCACCTAATTGCGAAGAAAAACAGGATGCTTAGCTGCAAAAAAAATGAAACATTAAGAAAATGTATTTAATCAATATCATGTGCAGTGAACTCTTCATATCTTCTTTTATTGGGCTCTTGTTGGATTTTTCGTTCTCCGCATTTACTTTGCCTGCATGTCTCTAGTAGTCCAAGGCCAAGAGCATTGGCGGAAGGTTTGCCAACAAGTATGTAGTTTTGTTGCAAGAAATATGTAAGACCCAGAGAGCCATCCCCAAGCTTGGTGAATCTGAATCTGAGTTTCCAGACCATGGTGGCATTTTTTGGGGACCATGACATTCCCAAAAAATGTCGGATTTGAGGCGCGACACCTCGGAATGGGACAAGGGTCGGTTACAACAATACCAAGAGCAGAACCTGGTAGGGAGACCCTGGGGCGGAGCTGGGGCTGTGGGGCTGGAGGTTGAGCCTGGCACATCTGGTGATATTCATCCCGCTCTGGCTGGTATTATGGGGTTGGTTGACCCATCCGAAGTTGAATTTCCATGGCTTTGGACAGTGGGATCATGCTGCCCTGGCCCCCGCAGAGGTCTTTGATGTGCAGCCCAGCGCAAAAGTGAAGGACTGGCAGACCCTCCAGCTGCATCGGGGGGAGTGTTTTGAGCCTCAGGAGCTGAAGCAGATGTTGGCCCAAAGGTACCTTGGCAGATGGGTTGATCATGGGCATTTAACAGCGGCTTAATAGTACAACGGGAGATGAACTATCAATGTGAATAGGGTCCTAGAGTCCTAGAGTCCTCCTGGCAGATGTTGCTGTCTTGTTGGAAGCCACTTGAGGAATCCCTATCAACCAGCAATGCAAAACAGATAATAACCAGAGCACAACTATAGGGTGTCATTATTCCCATACCAGCTATTCCCAGTTTGTTTGTTCATCCATATGGGGATGGTTCAAAACCTGGTACACCATATTTGGGGGACGAACATCCATAAATCCCAGCTATTTTGATCGCCATATTTTTAAAAGCGCTTTTCCCGATCCTCCAATGATTCTGAGTCCAGATGGGCATCTGCAAGGATTGGCATTCCATCCACCAGGCATCACCTCTCAGCTCATTTGCGACGCCCGGCGCATCACTGGGGTTAAACTGGTCACGAACTGGGCCAAATGATGCTGGATGATGTTGGAAAATGTTGGGAAACAGTAATATGTTTTGTGCCTTTCTCCATACTTGGCCTTTCTTGTTGGTGGCTTTCGGCACAGTCTTGGACCTCAACTGGGCATGTTTATCTTTCAGAATGGGGGGGACTCTTGTAGTGGTTTTCCTGTTGAAATTTGTAATTATTGGATACATAATATATAAGTGTCATTTGAACCTCCTGACTATAATTAATGAGTATTAATGAACTATTCAGTGATTGGGGATGTTTAGGGATTGTTTTGAGGATAATTATATATATATACAGTATATAAACCAACTAAACCCATTGGCTTCACAGCCAGACCTCAACTGCTCCTAGGAAGGAGCCTCCATAGTTTCGGCGAGTATGTGGACCTCGATGAGGCCGGAATCCCCAGGAATCCCCAGCAGATGTGACCGGTTGAACTGCCCCAAATGTGCTGCATAAAGCCGAGTATATCATACAGTATATATATATATACACATATTCTAATTATATATATATATATTTGTTAATATATATACATATATATATATATCGTACATACGTATAGATATACACACATAGTGCATGCATATGTATATGATATAAGAACCTTGAGCCGTCTGATGTTAGGAGTTCCTTTCGAATGTCGCGAGACAGTGTCAGGATGACAGGACTTTGGCTGACTATGAGTTAGACAAATATTGCGTTTGTGGCGCAGCTGCACTGGTGACCCCTGCAGGTCATATGAAAAACCCTACAGTACAATATCCCAAAGTGGCAATTCATGCTGCCCTGTGACTCACAAAATCTGGCTCATTCATTGGAGATTACCCCAAGAAATCGTTCCCTCAACAAAATCCTTGGCCAAGAGTAAATCTACAGTAAGCCACCCTTCAGAACCAGTTTTCGGATGTTTTCAGAGTTTTGATCTCTTTTGCAATAAATTGACTGAAGTCCCTTGATAATCTCAAAGGTGTCTTGCTGCAAGGATTTTGTTTCGAGCATCGGCGACCTGTTTTGACTTTCAGGGTGGACGACTATTGGGTCAGCGCCTTCAACTTTGGATATCTTCAAACATAACCCTTGCAAATTTTGCTTTGGAATTGGTCCATGTATGATATGGGACCATCATCAACCAAAAAAGCACCTTAGAGCCTTAGAGATTTCGTGAAAGGTGGTCTTTGATTTCATTCCATATGCTTGTTTCCCTGCAGGGTAGATGTTTTAATCTCTTTCCCATGGCACCCGCAAATTCGACCACAACCCAAGGCATACATTTCGAAAAGTCCCAGGTCGACAGCAATGGTCCCTTAGCTTTGGAGAAGGGGCTAGGGCCTAGGGGCTGACTAAAAGGGGCTAAGCTGGTTCAAAGAAGTGCTCAATGCCATTCTGAGTCAATGATTCAAATCGGATATGATATCAACATCCATCCGCACATCAATTAACATTCATCAATGATCAATAATGAACATTCATCAATCAACATCAACATGTTATTTTGCAGTGATAGCAACTCAATCTGGGGATGCTCCTGGCCAAAATGCGTATTGAACCCCATGAATTACTGTACATGCCATTTGGGATCACTTGAGTATGTGCAAAATCTCAGGGCCTCAGAGATCCAGAAAAAGCTCCCCCACACGTCCATTCCAGCAGGGCACCAATTGGACACCACAGGGCGTCGTGCATTTTGGCTGAGGTCACTTCATCTTCGATGATGCTTTCTGGGATGAAAATGGATACCACCCACAGCCAACTGGATGCTGGATTCCACAGGCCTCGGGCGGGCACCCTTTCCACCAGCTGGTCCAAGCAATGTTCAAAGGAGAGGAAGTCAGTAAGTCCCTCACCTTGGAGTCTCCCATTTAGAACTCTCCATCCGCAATTTTTGAATCATGGAATCCAGCTACATCCAGATATTTGCAAGTTGTAACATACTGGAGCCCAGTATTAGAACATATTAGAACCCCATTTTGGTTGCTTCAGATATTCAAGAAGTAAACCTCATGACCACCCACCAGCTATCAAGCAGATATCCACCCAAGCCTGCCAGGATTCGATTTCGCGGGGGCACCTGGCTCTGGATTTCTTTCTGAGGTGAATTGAAACTCAAATTCATTCAATATGGGAAGCTCAAATACATAGCTTTAGAATTTTCCTTCATGACCTGTTAAGAAGGCAATGTTAAATCCAGATCCCCACTGATGAGCTCTTTTTTGCTTGGCTCTGCCGTCAGATCGCCGGGCTTGTCAGCTGCGGATCATCTCTTCAATGAAGGTCTGTGAATTGCATAGGGCATAGGGTCCTTCCAAGATCAACAGGATTCAGGATGTATTTGTTGTGGTCTTCCCTAGAATGTCATCTATTTTTAGAAAAACACAATGCCAAGGACACAACTCAGTATTGGAACCCATGGTAACATCAGTAAGTTCCCTCATGTTTGGATTCCACCCATGGTGAATGACATGCCAAGGGACCGGGTGCGCCCCGACGCGAACCCAGTGGATCCCAACCAACCCCTCAGTGACTTGGATCAGAATGGTAGCGAATCTGTTGATACCTTAGATAGTGTATGTATATATATATATATTTATGGGGAATGGGCAACACTGCCGTTAGTTGTTTTTTCTGAGCCTCGAAAACTGCACTGATCGGGGCAGAGCTCGTTCATGTTTGCGTCCATGCCATTTCATCATCCAACCCCCGTCAGTATGCCCATTTGTTTCGAAGATTTGTTGGATTTTGTTGGCATGGTTTGAGACCAACAACCAGAACAACCAGTTGTATTGTTTGATTCATTCCATCATTATCCCATCCCATACCGGTTGACAATGGTGACTACATGTTTACCAACCACCATTTCTGGTTGGCCTATATCCCAGCAATTTTATTTGCCAATCATACCCCCATATTCCACCTATTTTCATGGCTTAAACATGCTTAAACACTGAGGTATCGTCAGCGACCGCCGTGCTGCGGAAAGAGCCTGATGCACCTCTCCTGGCGCGCCAGGTGAGGTTCTGCTCGGCCAATGGGTGGCATAATTTAAAACCCAACCACTGATGGACATTAGATGACATGAGTATATTTGGATGTTGGAGAATCTTGGGGTAGTGACTTAGCCTGGAAGTTGACTTTTTTCCCCATGTGAAGTGGTAGTTTGGGTGTGTTGACAGATATTTTAGTGGCGGGTTCGAGGCATTAATGCTTGTATTTGCTTGTATGGTCATCCTGGTATACCATGCTTTCTTCGGATGTTGGCAAGTGACTCTATCTTTCTTCGACGTATTTGGCTTGTCCCCTTCAATTCAATCTAGATGGGATTAACTTGTAATTATATCATCAGTCTCCGAATCGCTTTTTATCCTTTTCCAATTTTCCAAGAACAACTTCATCCAGACAAGGATCTCCATTGAATCTCCATATGGTTTTTCCATGTCTTTCCTCGACTCTGAGTGGGTCATCATTTTCCCCTGGTTTTCATCCCCCAGCCGCTTGGAACAAAACATCCACAAGATGGGTTTCTACCCGCAAGTGTTGGATACATGGATCCCCAAATGGAAAAGGGCGTCCTGCGGTGTCCTTATTCTTTCCATTTGATTTCGACACATGGCAAGACAGTTAACTCCATATGGCGATACAATGGCTTCTATACATGCTAATTGTGTCACGGAACTGTCTATGACTTATCAAAACATTGTGATTTACCATGAATTACGATGATTTGATTTTCCAAAACTTGCCATGATCTATAATGGTTTCAATGAAATGAACATATGAGAAGTTACTAGAACTCATCTATCAAAGTCTGGCACCTTACCATTGAAATCTGGCTTGACCAGGCCCAGCTCAGCGCAGCGGATCTTCCGGGAGGGTTTTATGGGCAGGTGCCGTGATGGCCTTGCGCCCACCAAGCCACGCCCAGCAAAAAAAAACAGGACCTATGGGTGTGGCGTTGTCTCTTTCAGCATGGCTTGAATGCAAACTTTGGAGGTTTGACTCCTCCTAGGTCCGCTCTCTCTTTTTTCTTGCCGTCTTTGTTCTGTCTTCTTTCGTTTTCACTTTCTTTGTATTTCCGTGTCTTTCTTTTTGTTTTATTTCTATTGTTTTCTTTGTCTGGCTTCCTGGCATTGGCCATTTTGAGGGAATGCTCCGCCGAGATTACAGTTTGAAAAGGGGAGGATCTAAGGTTCCCACCGGGGTCAGCGCCCAACAAGTTAGCAGAACCAACGATGGCAGGTGTAAATAGTATACACGAGGTTTCTGGTGAAGCATCGGCCAACCACGAACATGCGCTGGGCCAACTACGAACTTGAGTCGACAGCCTCGATGGCTGAAACTTTGGAACTTGTGGTAAGGGACTCCCTGCATTACCTACCATTTCCTTAAGCAATCATATGTAGTGTTTCAATGTGTTTTAATGTGGTGCAATGTAATATAGTTCATTGACCCAAGTTTCAACCAGGAAGTTTTGCACAGGCCTCAGAATGATTGTTTCAATGTCGCCGCAGTAGCACTCAAATGGAGACCATTGACAGCTACAAGAACCGGAAACAAGACTGGTGGAATGATCTTCCATCCGGCTGTACAAATAATCAAAACACACCCATAGAAACATGGTATTGATGCATGTGCAAGTTTCATTTATAATGCCTCCAGCCATCACACCCAACATCACCCAACTATCAGGACCACGGGTGGTCAAAGATGACTTGGTCATAAGTCATAGCCAACAAATCTCAGTTTGAGCCACGGCCTGTGGGTCTGCAATAGCCATCCATAGCTGGTGGTTTCACATACTTGTCATTCTTAATCTGTTCATGATCCTAACTGACTTTTCATATTTTTGGGATGAGTAGAAAAACCGCAAAACCACAGTGTGTTCTTTCAACCCGCGCCATGGTGCTGTGTGCATCGCACATGGCCACAGAAAGGAAACCAAAGGCCCCGTGGTTTTGCCATCAGGACTCACCTATGAGGTATATACCATACATATATGAAATAGAATTATATATGCATTTGTTAGTTCTGAAGATGGACATGGGATCTGAAAGTAGATGTGCCAAAGATTGCTGTATTCTAATACAGTGTTGAGGTTTGGCATTTAGGGGTGTCAACCTTAAATGGCGATTGGTTTTGTTGGCCATCGAAGATCAGATGGGTCAATACCCCTTGGACCATCTGCAATTACGGGGATGAACGTCTACAACCAGCAGACATTCTGGTTGTGAAAAGCAGGGGATTCCTTCCCGCCACTGGCCAGAAGGTGCCTAAGTATGCCTAGGTACTGAAGCAAAAATGGAGCTGAAAGTGTTTGAGCCTTCACTTGGATCGTTTTTTTCAACCAAAACAACCAGTTTGGTGGGTCGAGTGCTACCCCCAATTTTGAACCGTGGCGTGGTTCTGTTGCCAATTCGATTGGAGTTACTGTATGGAATCGTATAAATATCAGATTCAATAAACCAAAGAGTGCGTTATGTACACCAGCAACAAGGTTGCCGCTGCTGCTGCCAGGTTTCAGCTTTCTGAAAGGAGCGGTTTGATCTGGAAAGGCCTGGGATGTGCAACCAGTGAGGAGTAAGAATTGCCCGTTGGATCAACACTTTATAAGATTTTATAAGCAGAAAATATGACATACTTCATTTAATGGCTAGCTGCATTCCATATTCGGGGCTTTCCATCACCATTGCCCGGTCGATTTGCGGCGCTGAATTCCATGTGTGTTGCAGATCTGAGGTTTCAAGTGTAAGATGTGTAAGGACAAATTCGATGGGTTTTTAATGGGTCCTGAGGTCCCACACCTCCCAATTTCCAGGTATTCCATGGTATTCCAATGTTCGATCATTTTCTATCTGGGAATTTAACAAAACTGTGGAAAATTGCCCCTTTATAGATGTTTTGCCTATCAAAGCATGGTGTTGTTCAACAGCAACCTGTTAAATTACCAGAGGTTAAGCCCTATTAATTCCTATGATAAGCAACCACAACTATATCATATATCCCATATTATCCCCATATTATTCATTTAAATAACACACATTGTTGGTAGAATTACCATTAAATGAACCAACATAGACGATTTGGGGTCCAGGATGGCGGTGAAGCGAAAGGGCTACGAGCTCTCACCGATTTCGATGCTGCTGGAGGCGCCACGTGCGGGATGGGGATGGGGCATGGATGGGGAAAAATAGAGCGAAGTCCATGGGAATTCCATGGAATTCTTGATGTGTATAATATGTGTATATGTTTGTAGGTGTCTAATTAATGGAAATAAGAAATGGACATCACCAATCTCTAATGGAAATCAAAAGGTAAGTATAAGAAATAGTGATACTTATTTTTGATGGCCAAGGTTTGAAGCTGTCACACTATGCGACCATTTTTACATCCCTCAATATCAATTATGTCGATGTATTTGTCCGGGCATGTCCAAACGAATGTCCTTTTCGGATGAAATGGAACATGTTTTTTTGATTATAGTAAATTTGTATCAATGTATCGATATAGTTCTGTTTCATTCTATTTCTGTCCCTTTCATAAATTGTTGACCCACGGTCTTCCGTGGCCCTTTGTCTTCCGTGGCCCTCGCAACCGCAGGAATTCGATGCCACCCAAAACCGTTTGGCGCGGGAGAATCGCCTCATGGAAAAGAGGTCACCTGTGGCGGAAGCGGCTGAATGGAGGTTGCTGGATGAACATAAAATTGATTGGGACAAGATTGATTCATACAAGGACTATGGGGAAACAGAACTATGGTTAACTATGGTCAGAATTGACCAATCACTGACACATTGTTGTGGAAAGAGGTGGGTAATGAGGCGATCAGAAGCACTTGTGCTTTGTGATCCATCAAGTACTATCGGCAGACCCAATCTGGCAGTAGTCTGAGCCGTTGGGTGGGGGTACAATGCCACGCATAGAGGAACTGGTCAACACGGATGAGTAATATCAGTAATATCACAATGGATTTGTGAAGGGTCTGGCTACGGCTAGCTTGTGTTGATTGTTTGCCTGCAAATCCTGAGCGTTCCCTTTGGCTCTTATACACCGGGTGTCCATCCGCCAGATAGGAAAATAAAGTTTGAGGTCATTGATTTTCTGCATGATGGCCAATTCCAACAGATAAAACTGGTCTTTATATCTCTTTATAGCCTCAGTTGTCGTGCACACCACCCCATATGTATCAGTGGCAAACTAGTGGTATCTCCAGCGACCAAACCTTTTTCTGCTATGTCAAGTACTCATATTACCATATCATTATATACTCACAATTCCAACGCTTAGCCTGATAAGTTTGGATAATTCTAGGTCAATTTCTAATTTTGGACAATTTCTATTTATACCTTCAGCCACCACTTTCCCAGGCTTTCCCAGGCTTTCCCAGGCGCTCGTTGCAGCTGGCCCGCCAGGCTGGCCAAGCAGGCTAAGCGGGAACGCGCCCAGAAGCTCCGAAAGCTGGCGGAACGCGCGTGCGGATGCCCAGGGACTGGAAACAACTTGGAGAAATCTGGGAAATCATGGGATAATAGTGGTCAGTCATTCATAATGGGATAAGAATGATTAGTAATGGTGAATATGGGGGTTTCCATCAATGGAGGTACCCCAAAATGGATGGTTTATAATAACGGAAAATCCGAAAATAAAATGCATGATTTAGGGGTACCCCTACTTTAGGAACCCCCCATATTTAACTTATTGTATTTGACCAGCAATCATAGGAACACAATTATAAGAATTATAAGGATATAAATTGGGTACTCCCAAGGATCTAGGTGTTAGGTCTCATATTTTTATTGTATTTTTTTTGTATAAGGGGGTGAAATCAAGTGTTTTACATTAAATTAAACACCAGTTAACGCGTGGCCATATTGTGCCATATCTCGGTACATTGTAAATCCTCCATTTTGAGGCGAGACCGGAGGTTGGGTCGGGAGATTCCTAGGGACCAGCGAATGGTCCTCATCAGGCCCCAGAAGCCATGGAAAACTCCCAGCTAGATCACCCAACACAAAATTTGACCATTTCCAGAAGACCACCTTTTTACAAATTTTGCCGGTCAACACTTCAGTTCCATTTCACTTTGGCCAACCATCCCTCAACCATCCCCAAGTGAGGTTTGCGGGCGCTGGCTTTACCACGCTCCTTTGTGGATCCAAAATTTTGACCCCTTTTCCATCCCTAGGCAAAAATCTGCAAACATCATCATTTTTCCCCAACGAAACAATCCATTTTGGCCGAACCCCCCAAGATTTTTGGTATCCACAGGAGAAGCGCGCACGAGCTGGCCAAGAGTCCGGAAACCCAAAATGGGTGGTTCGGCCAAGGGTGTAGCCACGTTTAGCCCATGGTTTAGGATGATTTGGCCAATCATAAGTACAGGTACAGTACTTAGTGTATCTTGGTGTACATTAGTGAAGCCTTAGTGTACTTTGACATTGTTGTGCAGCCTTCTTGATTAGGCCCCCCAGCTTGTGGGCTTATTTAGCCCTGTTCTGGGTCTTTGTCCCTGTGGTGAAGTCTACCAGTGATCATCCTGCCATGCTAATCATGGTAAACTCATCTGGCTGAGGTGAGGACAAATGCCCCAGCCCTGGCAGCCGCGTGATTCAGGCGTACATTTTTCTGGGCCATGGCCACCATTTTGGGTGAATCCAAGGTGATCTTGCCATATGGTCGCGTGGGGATGTTTTAAAGGTGATCCTTTAGCAGGTTTGGATGGGCATAGTCTAAGGAGTTCTTGCCAGGTGATGCTGCATGCACAGCCATGGTAGAACTTGTGATCCATACCAGTGGAACGTCACCGTTTTCCATGTCATTTAGCCAGCCCTTTTCGGCTCGGTTACCTGCCGCCTGATCGCCGACGTCTGAACGCACTGCACGTGCGATGTTGCAGACCAGCAAGTACAAGTCGCAGATTCCAACCCCGCCCACTGGAAGCGTGTGGAGTTTCCAGACCGTTCAAACTCTGATACTCGTTGGCGGTTTCAGATTCTTTTCGGGGTTAATTTACCCAGAAACAGGGATCCTAAAGTTGTTCTTTGTGTTCTTTGATCATCACACTTCTAACACATTGCACATCTCTATTTGTGTTGATCAGCAAATTCCAAGTTACTGTTGGCCAAATCCCTGTTTCTAGGGATCCAGTTCAGTGATGTTAAGTCTCTCTTTTTGCTGGTGAACTGACTCGAATCTCCGTTGTGTCTTCGTAAAGCAACAGGATCGGTTTGGCTTTCGCAATTCCACTGGACTACTTCAATGCGGAGCTCTACCTTCGCAAGGCCTTGAACTTCAACAGCGAGGACTGGGGGGCAAGGCCTTGTTTCTCAGTGGCGAACACCTCAGTATACCTCAGTTGTGAAACATTGGCCGAAACCATCAAAAAGATTCGAACAGATGGTAAAGTAACCCAACAAAAATAATTAATAGAAAATACATAGTTTGTCATCATTCGTACACTATAGAATACCCATCATATAGAATATCATACAGGTACAATACCAGTATACTTAGTTTATTCCCATCCCAGCCATTGGTTTTTTCCGCAGAACGGGATGGGCTTAGCCCTGGCCATTGCGGCGCTGGTCTCGCAGCTGGTGATGCTGCCGGGGATGAATGGCCTGATTCGCGCCCGGGAGGAGCAGAAGGTGACGCTCCGGTCATGGGAATTCACCAGTCCAATCCTAATTTAGTATGATTCAGGGATGAAAATAATATGAAAATCCCATAATATTTCCCATACTAAAATCCTGATGATTCCTGAAATATCTTATTTAGTATGATTTAGATTTGATTTAGTATAGTACAGTCATAGATTGATGATTGGGTATCTTGGTTCTGGGGGATGTCGATCCCATCATTTTTGAGGGCCGTGGCGGCCGTGACCGTCGCCGTCACCGGTAGGTGGGACAGCCTATCCATCATCCTGCCCCGGGCGAGCTGGCGAGTGAAGACGATCGTAACTTGTACTCTGAGTAGCTGTGAATCCAAATGGGTTGACAACTGAAATGAACTCCTGGTTATCCCAAGACATCTTTATTATTTTCTGGGTTGTCACCCACCAACTATTCAACTTCTATCCAGCACCACCAGAAACCAAAAAAATCATTGTGTATGAGGAAAATGATGATTTAAGTCATAATAACCAGTGGAAACACCATGGTCTTCGCATTTTTTTCCAGCCAAAATTGGGCTTCAACTCCCCGGTTGCTGTGCCGCCGTACTGAGGCATGCTGTTCCTCTACAAGCTCCGGGCCTTTGAAAACGTCGTGGAGTGGCTACCGGTGTTCATCATTCACGCAGTGGCCCTGGTGGCTCTGGGGAAGACCGGCACCTGTGTGCTGCTCTGTGTGCCATATACCATTGGATGCCTGGTATTTTCCAGGGGAAAAGCTGGGAAAATCTGGGAAAATGGATAGAATATGATAGAATCCATGGCAGAAAGGTATCCCGAAATTGTTATTTTTTTTTGGGATAGCCATGATTTGGACCATGAATTTTGGATGCCATGGGTTTGAACGATCCAAGTCTCGGCCATGGACCCAGATGGGTCAGCAGAGGGGTCAACCCTTTCCGACCAAAATGGGAGAGGTTGACCAGAAACAAGTGGGATGAACGTGAATGTAATATATCACAATTAGGATTGAAGGGGATCGCAGGAGCATTAGCGGGAATTTTGGAATTTGCAAAATAGTGTGGATCAATGACACTCCAAACTGGGGGCTTACCTTCTTTTGCTGGACTCCATTACTTGATTTTCAGCCAAGCGCCTCAGAAATCCAAGCTGAAACGCAAACTGGGATGTTCCATGATCGTACGCTTTGAGCTGATTTTGCGTAATTTGTGTACTTTTCACTTTGCATTGAATCTGGATATGTTGGGGTCAGATGACCAACTGGGTCATATGCATGTGGTTCAGCGTTGCCAGGAAAGTTCATGTTCACCTACGGATATGGTTCAGGAGATTCTGACAGGCGTATCCCTGGACTCATTGTGAGCGACTTTTTGGGTTTGTTGGTGATGCGTGGCATTTGCATTATTGCCGTGGTGCAACATTGTATCGCATCCGCCCGGTGAACGAGACATGATGAGACATGGGATTGTGGCGAAGTGTATGTCATTTTGAGAAATGCAGCACTGCTTGGTGGTTGCAGATATATCATGATATATCGCCATTTCCAATTGAATTTGGCAAAATATATAGATCCAACATGATCTAACGGCATAGTCTTGCGATGGAAACCGCCAACCAGCTCATTGGTACCTCTAGACCTTCTGAGCCACGACCTCTTGAGCTTTAAAGCGGCGATGCAAAGTTTCGCCTCTGCACAGGCTGATGCTTGATGGTTGAGCGACATCCTCGTCGATTGTTTTGGTTAAAAGGATTTAAAAGAAGGGTTGGCTCGTTGAGTGCTCACAGATAGAGAGCAACGGCTTGATCGGTTGGGGAGAAACGGCTGCGGTTTTGTGTGGCTGGGATGTATGTTGCATGAATATTATGTTTGCAAATAAATTTACGATATTGGGATCTTTTTCCCAGAAACTTTGATGGCACAGCCTATGATGCAAAGGAAGCGAGCTTAAAACAAAACATCAATGAGGGAATTAATGCAGAATGAATTCATGACCCTCAGAAGGACGGTAGATTGCTGAAGCGTGGATGTACGAATCTTTGGGTATTCCACATTTCATGTCGGGTGGTAGCCTATAGCCCGATGACTGAGATTATCATCCCATCAGAAGTGGCGAATTCAAATACTAACATCAAATAACTATCTTCTTGTGGTTTGCATCGCTTGTGTGTTTGGGTTGTCCCATCCACAACAACCATTGACGCCAGATCGAAACAGCCCCGCTCTTCGAGACCACCATGTCCAACTCCTGTCATGATTCCGCCTGGGCCCAGGGGCAGAGGAACCTAGGGTATGAGGAGAAGCTGCAATACGTCGGAAATGTTGGGTCCAAAATTTTGAGGTCAACATGTCAACATGTCTAATTTATTCTAGTTTAACATGTCAACATGTTTGAGGTCGGAGGTCAGAAGCATTGAGAATCAAGAAGAGAAACCGCAAGCTTTAATTGTTGAGGAATTGGATGGCCAGGAGTTACCCATTACTTGAACCCCCAAGTGGCCATGGGGTATAGTTGGGTATTTGCCATCCAACGTCATCTAACTATTGAGGTTGATAGTTCGGACCCATGGTAAATCAATGTCAGCCATCCATGGTTTTTGGCAATTTTATGATGTTCTTGCAAACCAAATCCCTGGTAAACCACCCATGTTAGCCAAATTTTATGGTATGGTAAACCATACATTTTTGGAAAAAAGTCATGTCAAACTGTCAAACATGGTCAAACCATGCATTTTGGGCCAAAATCATTGGGAAACCCATGTAAGCCCTCCATTTTTCCATGGTTTTTCCATGAATTTCTGGTGAAGCCCCAATGATTTGCCCAGCGTCCCAGCGTCCCAGCGTCCCAGGTGGCCGACACGGCCAGGGATCCCTCCACCTCCCCTGACTCGGTGAACTTCCGCCTGAGCCAACAGTGGCGTCTCTTGTCATAGTCAGTACTAGTCATTAGTCAATCATTAGTTGATGAATAAATATTAGTCAATTAGTCAATATAGTCAATTTGACATATTAGTCATTAATATTAGTTATTACTATATATTAATAATTCACTAATTTATAGTTGACCAGTTCATTAATATATAGTTGATTAATAGTTCATGATAGTTCATTAATGGTCCATTAATATTTGATATGAATTGATAGTCCAGTAATTCCGTGAATGATCAAATAATCGTTCATTAATACTCCATGAATATTCCATTAATGTTGAGAATATCCATATTTATATCCTTATTGATAGATGACGTCCCCAGCTATACACCTCCATAGTCATAATGGCATTGACAATCATACTGGAATACATATAGGTATACAATCCATACAGCGACGGGATTGAGAATGATAGCGAGTTAATAGTAATATAAATGGGCTAACGCCCTGGTGCCGCCGACCCCCATTTGGAGGGCCATGGTTATCCGATGTTATCCGATGTTATCCGATGTTATCCGATGTTATCCGATGTTATCCTGCACACAAGTGCCCACTGTGTGGGACGGTTGTGTGGTCAGCACGTGCTACCGGACGAATCCACGTCAAGCATAGCGCACCATCTGGACGGCCCTGTGAACGAGAAAGGTGGGTAGCAAGGTAAGGAACCCAACGGAGCTTCTGACACGCATGGCAAGACCAAACCCAATAGAGACAGGTCTGTGACTTGGCAAGGCGCTGGCAATGGAGTGAACCTGGAGAGAAGGAAATGGATTATTGCCACGTGGCAGCGCCAAGGCGCTGGCAAACGGCTGGCGCTGCAGGGCAACGTGTTCGCGGTGACTTGAGAAAGCAGTGGCAAAGCGGTAAAGGCTCACAGCGGGGTTTTGTGTCCTGATGGACCGTGCTTCACGCAGGTTTTGACACCCTCTAAATGAATTCTGGCGACATGGCCAGGCGCTGCGGTGACCGGGGGAAGCAGTGGCAAGGCGGTAAATGGATTATGGCGACATGGCCAGGCACTGGCACAGAGCTGCCGCTGCAGGGCAACGTGTGTGCGGTGACCTGGGAAGGCAGTGGCAAAGCGGTAAAGGCCCACAGACGGGTTTTGTGTCGTGATGGGCCGTTCTTCGCGCACGCTTTGAAACCCTCTAAATGGAGTATGGCGACATTGCCAGGTGCTGGCACAGGGCTGCCGCTGCAGGGCAACGTGTTCGCGGTGACCTGGGAAGGCAGTGGCAAAGCGGTAAAGGCCCACAGACGGGTTTTGTGTCGTGATGGGCCGTGCTTCGCGCACGTTTTGAAACCCTCTAAATGGAGTATGGCGACTGGCCAGGCGCTGGCAAAGGACTGCTGCTGCAGGGCAACGTGTTCGCGGTGACCTGGGAAGGCAGTGGCAAAGCGGTAAAGGCCCACAGAGGGGTTTTGTGTCCTGATGGACCGTGCTTCGCGCACGTTTTGAAACCCTCTAAATGGATTATGGCGACATGGCCAGGCGCTGGCAAAGGGCTGCTGCTGCAGGGCAACGTGTTTGCGGTGACTTGGGAAAGCAGTGGCAAAGCGGTAAAGGCCCACAGACGGGTTTTGTGTCGTGATGGGCCGTGCTTCGCGCACGTTTTGAAACCCTCTAAATGGAGTATGGCGACTGGCCAGGCGCTGGCAAAGGACTGCTGCTGCAGGGCAACGTGTTCGCGGTGACCTGGGAAAGCAGTGGCAAAGCGGTAAAGGCCCACACGGGGGTTTTGTGTCCTGATGGCCCGTGCTTCGCGCAGGTTGCGAAACCCTCTAAGTGCCTCTAAATGGATGGAGTGGAGTATGCCGATATGGCGACATGGCCAAGCGCTGGCAAAGGGCTGCCGCTGCAGGGCAATGTGTTCGCGGTGACAGGGGGAAGCAGTGGCAAGGCGGTACATGGATTATGGCGACATGGCCAGGCACTGGCACAGGGCTGCCGCTGCAGGGCAACGTGTGCGGTGACCTGGGAAGGCAGCGGCAAAGCGGTAAAGGCCGACAGACGGCTTTTGTGTCGTGATGGGCGGTGCTTCGCGCACGTTTTGAAACCCTCTAAATGGAATATGGCGACATGGCCAGGCGCTGGCAAAGGGCTGCCGCTGCAGGGCAACGTGTTCGCGGTGACTTGGGAAGGCAGCAGCAAAGCGGTAAAGGCCCACAGAGGGGTCTTGTGTCCTGATGGACCGTGCTTCGCGCAGGTTTTGTCACCCTCTAACTCTCTGAACGGAGTATTGCGACTAGCCAGGCGCTGGCAAAGGGCTGCCGCTGCAGGGCAACGTGTTCGCGGTGACTTGGGAAGGCAGCGGCAAAGCGGTAAAGGCCCACAGACGGGTTTTGTGTCGTGATGGGCCGTGCTTCGCGCACGTTTTGAAACCCTCTAAATGGAGTGGAGTATGGCGACTGGCCAGGCGCTAGCAAAGGACTGCTGCTGCAGGGCAACGTGTTCGCGGTGACCTGGGAAGGCAGTGGCAAAGCGGTAAAGGCCCACACGGCGGTTTTGTGTCCTGATGGCCCGTGCTTCGCGCAGGTTACCGACCTGGGAAGGCAGTGGCAAAGCGGTTTAGGCCCACAGAGGCGTCTTGTGTCCTGATGGACCGTGCTTCCCACAGGTTTTGTCACCCTCTAACTCTCTGAACGGAGTATTGCGACTAGCCAGGCGCTGGCAAAGGGCTGCCGCTGCAGGGCAACGTGTTCGCGGTGACTTGGGAAGGTAGCGGCAAAGCGGTAAAGGCCCACAGACGGGTTTTGTGTCGTGATGGGCCGTGCTTCGCACACGTTTTGAAACCCTCTAAATGGAGTATGGCAACACGGCCAGGCGCTGGCAAAGGGCTGCCGCTGCAGGGCAACGACGTGTTCGCGGTGACTTGGGAAGGCAGCAGCAAAGCGGTAAAGGCCCACAGAGGGGTCTTGTGTCCTGATGGACCGTGCTTCGCGCAGGTTTTGTCACCCTCTACATATGGATGGAGTGGGGTATGGCGATATGGCGACATGGCCAAGCGCTGGCAAAGGGCTGCCGCTGCAGGGCAACGTGTTCGCGGTGACTTGGGAAGGCAGTGGCAAAGGGTTTGGTGTCTGGTGGACCGTGCAGGCCGAGGTCCTAGCAGGCCAAAGCCGCACACCTGCGGTGATCCCAGGCGCCGCCCCGCCTGGGCCAAGGCTAGGCAGGGGTCGGCGGATATGATGTCATATGTTCAATGATTGACATTGATAGTACTGTAATATTTCTAGTCATAATGATGATATTGATGAGAACAATGTAGCACAATGATGATAATAGTAATGGCCAACAACTGTATTCATGATCCTGGTAATTGTGATGATGCTCGTGATGGTGACAATGCTGAGGCAGTAACAATACGCCAAACCTAATTGAACCATTCAAAAACACATTGAACCATTCAAAAACAGATTGAACCATTCAACCATTCAAACATAGGTTTATCATTGAGTTTTAAATGGTTTTACTGGTATCAGGTTTTAAAGGCGCGACAAGCCTAGTGATCGGAAGTTCTCGATAGGATCCGCCAACTGGCGGCTTCGGGCGGAAGTGGAAACTCCTGCAACTTAGTGTCACCAGGATTCACCAGGGCCCAATTTTCGAATCAGACTGGTGTTGTTTCTGTCATCATTTGACATCATCTGACCTTCTTGGTGAGTTGATCTAGACATATCTAGACAGGTTCACAGGTTCCTCAGAACATCCTTATTTTACTGGTGGATTGAAGATCCAGATGTGCCACGGCGAGAATATGCGTTGTTTCCCCACAAAGAGGGATTGGTCATCAATCCATTCATAGCGATTTGGATACCCATTATACGGATTCCCATGATATGAGATACATTACCATTATAACCATATATCATGGGATCCTTTTTTTTTCAAACATTATAATGTAACCATAACCATACAACACATGGATTTAGATGACCATAACCCATGGGACCCATGGGAGAAGCTCTCTGAGGTCACAAGGATTCGCGCTTGGACAAGGTTTCCAACTCCAACCACAGTGGTGCCTGAGCTGGGCAGTGAGTGAAAACCCGTGGGTTCTCCAAATGGCCCACAACTTATGGATTTTCTGCTGGGATTGGAATCCGAAGGGTGACCCAGACGCAGAGTTTGATGAATTTTCCTACTAGCTTGGACAGAACCAAACCATTGGGTCATGCTATTGGGACCTACTAGTGAAATCTAGTAGATGAGTATGAATGGGTACTGGTATTTGACACCTGGAGACTCTTGAAACCCATTTTACAGGGTCCGTTTTAAGGGGCAAACAATTGGATCTTGGGACTCAAAACTCTCGGTTTCACCCAGCTTCACACACACTATTGCCAAGCAAACATGCCCTCGAAAAGCGCCGGAAAACCTGCCTTTCGAACAATCCATGCAGTGATTTATATTTGATTTGGGGTGTGTTGAAACATTGGGTACCATTATAGGACCCGGTGTGGTTTTCCGCAGCACTTTTCGGCAGTTTTGATTTTTGGGGAAGCGACCCTTTTAACATCCCCAAAAACACAGCGTTCCACCCTACGAGGTGAACTGGAGATGCGCATGGGCATGATGGAACGGAACGTGTTGAGACACCAGGTGGGCAGCATCTTTTTGAAGCGGCTGAATCATGGGGTTCAAAATTTCATGGTTTAGCAATAGAAATGGCCTAAATGTCTTTGTTGGGACTTCAGACTTTGGACTCATTGCTCATATTCTTGATATGATTGGGGTAGTATTGTGTGTATTCCCAGATTGATGGATGTACTTGTTGTAAACCCGCAAATCATCAACGGGCGCGGCGCGACTGCCAAAGGATCCTTAAGATGTAAGGGATAGAGACCAGCTTTCGACGGAGGTCTCCATCAAAGGCTGTTTGGCGGCTTTGGGCTCTTGATTTCCCATAGGGAACCAAGCCATGATGAAAGCAGCCTACCCTCAGGAAGAGAACCCACTCGGAGGCCCAGAACAAGTGTTTTAGAGAGTAAATGTAAAGGAAGCCACTGTTTACCCAGAGCTCTCCAAACAGAGTTCAAATCTTACTTATCCCCATGCTCCTAGCAAAACACTCCAAAAGTCACTCCCTGAACATCTGAACCGCATTCTGACTGAAGGTAAGTTTTTTGGAGCAACTGTGGAGTGCCATCAAGAGGATCAGGTTGGGGTGCGGGAAGGGCCACATTTTTGGAGATCATCCCACGGGTCATGGGTGAAAGTTGTGATTTTTAGCAAAGAGATTGAGTTTTTTCCTGGCGGTTGGGATGAGTTTTGTATAGTTTTGTGGCAGTCTCTCCGTTTTTTGGATGTTTTTTTGTTGGCTTGCACGAACATTTGCATTTGCCGCTCATGACTGTGGAAGGTGTTTGAATGGTTTATGTTCCTGTCAAGAAGTGTGGAGCTGCCGCCGTTTCTGGAAGATTCTGGAAGGGTTCGATGGATGATATATAATAATATATACATATATATATATATTATAATATATTAATATATTAATATACCCAGGCCTTCCAAAGGCCAGGTTAAACTTGGCCGTTACACTAACAGCCGGCCGTTACCTAAAGACCATCGAAAACCCATGGTATTTATTTATATAAATTTACATAATGGTCATGTTGATCTTGGGAATCTTGGGATATATGATATATGTTAACATATATAAGGGGAAACCCGCCAAACCCCACATACACGCCACAGCCTCAGCAACAACAGCTGCGCATCAACCAATTTCAAGTCTATAAGTGCCAAGACTGCTTGAAATGACCAATGGTTCCAAAGATTTCAATGAAAAGCCCGTGAAAAGACTACAAAATACCCAAACAAATGAGTAAAACTTTGGCGCAAGTTTTTGGTGGCTTTTCACGGTTTTTTCACGGCCTTTTCACGGGTTTTTCACGGTCGTTTCAGGGACTTTTCACGGTCCAGATTTTGTGGGAAATTTCAGGTAGGTACTTTCACTAGATCATATTCTGGTTTGTATTTGGTGACATCATGATCTAAGATGCAGACGTTTGTGCAGAGCCCGTGCTCCCAGGCGCATTTTACTTGCATCGAATTGAACCAAATTGCCTTTTTATCCACCTATCTATTGACCATGATTTCCCAACATGACATGTGAGCTTCCTGGACAAAGTATGTATAATGGTTATAAACATAGCTATAAAAAGGAGCATCTTCCAAGAGCCAGGTTAAACCTGGCCGTTAGTAAAGACCAGGTTAAACTAGGTCGAGGAAGGGCTGGGATATAATATTATATAGTATTTCTGACATATTCTTGCAATCTCAGAACCAAGTAACCACTCCTCGATTTCAACTTGTCTTGCAGTGATGTGCACCAAGAACTTGCGCGGCCATCCTTGCGCGGCCACATTATATAGTCATAGACCCTAGATCCCAACCAACCAGCCACGCCAGCGCCGATTCGGAGGCTTCCAATGAATCCAAACAGCACAGTGCGATTAGGTCCGGGTCCAAGTCGCGAGCATGCGATAGCCACCGGTTGGAACATGTCATAGGAATTCATATGACGTGTGTCCCCCAAGCAATTTTATAACAACCCTTTGGCACATGAACATGGAAATGGAAACTCCAGTTGCGTATTGAAGAGAAATCCCACAGGAAACCAATTTGTTACCACCAATTTGTAAGAGTTTCCTGCAACATGTACCTCCAACCAAGTTTGGGACTTCGTGGGGCTTTTTCTCATCTCCTGGGATGTGCTCTACATCCCCTTCGAGGCCGAAGATTGAGGATGATGTGGAGGATATTTACCAGTAAAAATTGATGATTTACCATGATTTACCACGACAATAATATATGATGTATATGGGAAACTTTTGGCAGAGAGGCATTCAACCAGCCATTCGGATGTCAAGAACTTTGAAGGGACTGCCATTTCTGTCAATAAGATAATAAGATTGTATATTGCAATCTTGGCTACTAGGCACACTGCTGGAAATTCCTGGCATCGAACCATAGCAACACAACCTTTTCGCACCTCAGCGGGACGCCAGTTGGCCTTTGACCCGGAAGAGAATCCCGTCTTGGGGCTCAGGGGGAAAAGGTCAGTATGTTCAGTTGGAATCCACTTTGTGGGTTTGACACATGGAGTTTTAGTTTTGTAGTATGTTCTAGTGATTCACATCGTTTTTAGTTCATGGTGTCACATCGTTTTTTTGCTCAAAGAGACAACATTTTAAACATGGCATTGTGTCCACCCCAGTGATTTTGATCGTTTGCAGGAAACATGAGGATTGCCACGGCTGTTTAAAACATGGGAGTTCAACATGGTTCACCCGACTTATGACTTATTGTTTGCTTCAAGAACAAGATACGGGAGGGTATCACATATCACGGACAACTTTTCCCTGGATGGTAAACTCCAGGAAATTGATCACCAATTGATTGGTACCAGATGGTACCAGTATATTTTGAGATAGGTTTTTACACCGCCAGCAATGGGCCATCATTTTTGTGCATCTGGAGCTCTGCAGCTTGGATCGAGCAAATTGCGACGATTTTTGTCAGCTGAAGGCTAATTGGCAGAAAACACACATGCAGCTGCAAATGCGCATAATTTATAAAGTTTTATGAATCTTTGTGATATGTTATATGTATAATGCATGCATTTGTATGCATTTGTAGAATAGAGATAGATGATCGACACAATTACATACAATTACATGTTTATAGTCTTCCATGAATGAGCCCCGAAAATCATGCATCGTCACAGCGACTAAGTCAGATTCCAGTAGCTCCGTTGGCAACTTGTGCCGCCGGGCTGCTCGTCTCACCCAAAATTTGCCATGTCAAGACCCGAGGAGGCCATCGGGGCAGGGTTCGATCAGACCTGGAAAATCCATTAAGTTTTGTCCCCCAAGTGGTGGGTTCTCTCTGGTTGATCTTAGCTTGGGCTCGGCACAGTCGGCCCCGAAAAGTTCTAACTGCTGAGTAGAGGAAAGAGTAGTAGAACAAGGTAAACATCAACAATTGTTTTCACCAAAAACGGGGGGCAACTGTACCACCGGAACAATTCCATCCGGGAAACATTTCACATCAGCAATATCCTATTGGATTGAACAATTTGACTGTACAATGGGGGTTATGTATACCAGTTATACCATGTTATACCCTCATTTGTAAGTTAGCACTCACAAAGTGAATAACACGAATAGAGACCACTAATTACTGGAACATAGCCTGAGATTAAGACCCACTTTTTGTGGGTTCCTGCAAGACCCAGGTTTGGTCGAGTCATCATCTTCTGGAATTCCCCCATGTTTGTAGACATCCCAGGTTTTCACGGTGACATCCGCATTAACAGAATGCGGAAACGGAGGTATGCAATTGACACTTATAACTTTTAAGTTTGTGTGTGTGTGTCCCCTTTTGTACAGACCTAGTTTTCTTGATGTTTTTTGTTCCCTGTGTTTTCATGTTGTTGAAAGGTAATATGTTTAACAAGGTAATAATTATTGTTGAACAGAGGTATAAGATTGTATAAGACATTTTAAGAGCCACTATTTGTTCATAGTGGGTATAGTAACCATCTTATACCTCTGTTAATAACTTACCTATAGTGGGTAATATATATATATACATAATGGTAACAATGGGTAGTAATAAATTACCAAAAAAAATACCTACGTATATTTGTTCATTGTGGATAATAACCATCTTATATGGTAACAAATAGTGGGTTAATATTACCCACCATTAACAACAGTGGCTTACAGAGGTATTCCCACCATCAATAGGTATTACCACCATTAATAGTACGTTAACACCTATCAACAGAGGTATTAGCACGTGGGTTACCTATCTGTTAATAGTGTTATGCACATAACATCACCATGTTAACCAGATTAATAGGAACATATATATATATATTATATATATATGTCATAATATGTCAATATATGGGTTACCCCTATCTATAGACATAACTATAAACCATCTGTCAATAGTAAGCCACGTCATCCCCACGTCATCTTTCTCTGTCCGGTCCAGGCCGTTGAGGCGGCCATGAAGTTGGCGGTCCAGGAGAGCACGGCGCTCAAGCGCCTCGCGCCTCGGCGGCTAATTTGTGGATTTAAATAAAGGATCCATAGAAGGAATATTAATATGGACCATAAATATGTGAAATGATGAATTTTAAGGGAAATTGTGGACCATACCCGATACCCATCCATGAAATGATCCATAAAATATGGTTTAAATGCCACTCATGAAATGCCTAGGGGTACACATCAAACAAGGGGAATATTTCACTGATTAAGCTATATTCAAAAGTATGTAACAGTTGGGTATCACTGATTCACCCAATTGCTGTTGTTTTGAAGTCATGGAAAATGGTGATGCTGCGACCGACGGGCGGTGAAACATGGGTCAGTTCCGGGAGATTTTGAAGCTTTCCGGGAAAAGAGGTTGAGCGACAAAAATGGAAGAAATATACGGAGGTCGCCAACCACCCAATAAAATGGGAATGGACAGCGATCCATTCCGTTCACATGTTTGTTGAACTTTAATTGAAAAAAAAATCGGAACAAAGCCTATTATACACCCTTGCTGGCCATTGCGCCTTTACATGGTCCCAGCACCATTTCTTGGCCATTGAGACTTTATGTGGTCCCAGCACCATTGCCATTCCAACTGATACTGTATGTTGTAGTTGGACTGAACTCTCCACTAAATGACTTTCATCAGCATGCGTGCCAGTTGAGATGATCCCTTTGACTCTTACCTTGAAGTTAGGCACCCCAAATCACCTAAAGACCAAACGCAAATTCAATCGATCTGCTTATATTTTCTTTTTTTGCACCTTGTGCACCAAAACCATTGCTTTCGTTTGGCACTCAGTTTCAAGGAACACCCATATTCGTCACTTGGAAAGACCTCATTACCTTCTGCTATCTGTTTCAAGACGCAGCATGGGTGATTGTGATTGAACACAAATCTACAGAGCCAGCCCCGTTTTGGCGTTTAAGAAACCAGCGTTCGACTCATGTTTCCCATAGATCAGCCCAGTGAATCTCCAGCATTCCATGGGTTTTCCCAACGGCCCCAGGCAGCAATGCCAGGCAGACTTCAAGCCTCAAGCGATGCGCAGGCAGATGACTGGCCTGTTCAATGATTTGAAATCCTCTACCAAGACTGGCGCATCTATTTTTCTCAAAAGAACACTGTTGATGTATGTCTCTCTATATGGTAGCCCCGCCCCATTTATCCGAGAAGACATTGCCGATATAGTTTTGGGGTCTTAGATTTTGACCCAACTACGGCCGTATAGTGCCCGGCAGTGACGTCCCAGAGTTTAGGGGCCAAGAATGGCATTAAAAAATGCATAAAATGCATAGAATTATGACATAATTATGATGAATTATAGTTGAGAATGACCACAGCCATCTCTGTTCATTCTGGCATATTTTGCAAGGTCACTCAGGAAGCTCAATGAGGGCGGGGGAAGCAGATTTGCTGGGCTGGGGCATCTTACGACAAAACAGTGTTTGCTCTACATTTGCATGAGTGTTATTGAGTATGTACCGTATGCCCAATCCCTCCGCATTATTATCCTTGAAGTAGTCAAAGTAGCACATTATCTCTCAATTGACTCCCACCATGCTCATATGACAAGCAGACATTCAATAGATGAAACAATGTACGTAGATGCTATGGCTATGTACGTACAGATTAAACATAATTAATGATGATTGTAATGATGTAAGAATGATAACGAGGATAATGGTAGCTGTGACAAGTGATCATGCCAGTAGCTAGCAGATTCTAGCAGCATATACTGTAATGATAATGCGCATGACAAGAACAACATGATAACCAGAAATGACTATAACGATAACAATAACGATACTGATGGAAACAGGAACAGAATGACCACGACAATGATAATACTAAATGATGATAAGAATCACAAAATCATGATACGCATGATACTAATGATACGAATGGAACCATGATAAGAATTATAAATCTAGGGGTATAACCTACCCACCTAGTAAATAGCTTGTATACCCATTTATAATACCCATTTCATATGGAAATTCCTATGGAATATCCTTCACCTCAGGCCAGCCATGCCAGAGCACAAGGGGCACTGGCGGAGGCGACCCAACGGCTGCAGGCACCGGACCATCCCATGATGGCAAAATCCGAAGACGTTTTTGATGGGAACATCAGTAGATATTTAAATGGGAATTTAGCATAAGATAACTGGGTTATATATCATGATATATATATATAATGGGGATATCTGTATACTATTATATAATTTGATTTCATGGGACATATATCATCTATAAATGGGAAGCAAACCAACGATTAATGGGGGTTTGATGGGATAGCTAAACGATGCTAAAGGTATGAATTTTATGGGATACGTAACTCGCAATATGACAATCTGTAGGTGTCTAAAAGTGGATAATCTACCTTACTTTTCCTGTATAACTTATCAAATAATAGAGTGAATTGAGTGAACGAGGTGTTAACGATTGAAGGCTTGGGATGATTGGGATGCTCATTGGGATGGGAAAATTACGATGACCTCAATAAGTCACCACCATGAGTGATGGATTCTAGGGGGGAACCACCCCAAATCACCTTATTCCAAGTTGACGATTCTAATTCAGCCTGGTGGATTATCATCATAATTGAGCCACTGAATATGTACCATTTATTCCCCACAGTTTTATAATCACCGAAAAATGGCGAGATCCAGATGATGTCCACGTGAAAGGTGATGGCGCAGAGTCCTGTGAAGAATGACTTGTCTGCCCAACAGCTGCACCGTGTCAAGGAGCAGTGTCTTGGCAGGGCCATGGAGCTCTTCACATTCCCAAGGTGTCTAGTCATTTGTTGTAGATTAATCATATATATTTATATATATACATTACAGTATATATATATATATTTATATATTTATACATTCCATATATATGAAAAAAACATATTAGTATATATATATATATATCAAACATATATATACATATATATATATCCAACACATTTACATATATATATAGACATTATAGAGACTATATATATATATAGACATTATAGAGACTATATATATAGATGCCGTGTATACACACATACATCTATCTATATCTCTATTGATTGTTTTCTTGGGATGTTCACCAGAACTTTGACCCGTAGCTATTCTCCAAAAATCATGGAGCCTATCATGCCATCAGGGGGGAGGCCCTCGCCATTGGGGATTTCCATAAATGGGGATATCCCAAAACGGATGGTTTAGAGGATGGTACCAATTGGTGGTTCTGGTTGATTTTCAAGAGATTTTTTTTTGGTGTGGTTCTCCTCTTCACGGCCTAGGAAGCTCCGGGAAAACCTGCAGAAGCTCTCGAAAGACCTGAGCGATGCCTGGGGTCAGTGGTTGAAGGCGGAGGACGGGCTGGGTCCAATCGCCGCAAATCGCGTTGCCGCTTGGTGGTTGCCAACGTGTTACAGATCTGAGATTGTTTTTTTTAATGTTTGCCGCGCTTCACTGTTAGCCACGAAACCTAGCTTTTGGCTCAACGAGGTTCGAGGTTCCTGGCTCACTGGGGTTTTGCAGCCATGGCCGTGGAAAACAGCCCATTATTTTTTACTATCAGAGAATCTTGAATCAGACTGCCGCGCAGGGGTAGACGGGAAGGGCACAAACCAAGACAGCTTGGACATGTTTAAGCTGAGTTTAAACCTTGACAGGATTCATGCTCTCCAAAGCAGTGAGTTAATTAATCAGGGAGACTGGGTACATTCGGGTATGAAAATCAGGACAGCAAGCCCTTGAATATCCTGAATCCTGACAAGATGTTTTTTCATTTGAGACAACAGTGGAGCAGAGCTTTCAAGACCAGGGCCAATTCTGGAACATAAGACCCTGAACCTGAACTGACAAGTGGCGACCCCTTGCGTTTTTTTAAGCGTCCCTGCTGGAAACCCTGCTTCACAATGATGGTTTTTTTCGGTGGCCTAAGAATGGCAGGAATCATCATCCCGATCGGTTCATATTTCTTTGTGGTGTTGAAACAACCAAGCTGTAGAGGTGAATGAATTCTTGACCCCTTATACAAGGTTGATGAGTCCAGTGTTGGAGCATGTTGGAACGCTTGCAAACAGGTTCATTGCAAACAAGCTCCGACTGAGGATGGCACTTTCAAAAAGGCAAAAAAATCATCGCAGAATCTTCTCAAGCATCTCTTGCCATGCGTGGCTTGGCAAATTGTCTTGTTTTCAGGAAGCCTCAATCAAAACGGGGTGAAAACAAGTTATCAATTTTCTCTACGTCAGATGAGGCTTGTTCCAGGCACCCAGGACACAGGAGAGCTGTAAAATGCTTCCATCTTAAAGAGGTGATTGATGCCAGGCAAAAACATCAAAAAACAAGACGCAGCCCACGAACCCGAATGCAGTCACGTAAAACACTTTTGTGAAACAAGTTAATTGAACAGTCTTGTACATAGTTCTCCTGTTACCATACTAGCGCACTGTAGACTGGAATGCGGAAGAGGGTGGAGTGCAAGGTGTGGAGAAAGTGGAGCATTGAGTGGGGAACGTAGTGTGTAGAGTGTGAAGTGGGATTGTGGAGTGTGGAGTGCAAAGTGCAAGGTGTGGGGTGGAAAGTGTGAAGTGCAGAGTGTGGAGTGCAAATTGTAAAGTGAAAAGTGTAGCAAAGTGTGGAGTGTAAAGTGTAAAGTCAGTGTGGAGGGCGCAGTGTAAAGTGTAAAGTGTGGAATGCGGAGTGTAAAGTGTAAGGTGTACAGTGTGGAGTATATAAAGTGTGGAGTGTAAAGTGTAAAGTGTGGAGTGTGGCGTGAGCTGGAGTGTAAAGTGTGGAGTGTAAAGTGTGGAGTGTAGAGTGTGGAGTGTAAAGTGCAAAGTGTGGAGTGTAGATTGTGCAGTGTGAAGTGTAAAGTGTGAAGTGTAAAGTGTGGAGTGTGGAAAGTGTGAAGCGTGGAGTGTGGAGTGTGGAGTGTAGAGTGTAGAGTGTAAAGTGTGGAGTGTAGAGTGGAGTGTGGAGCGCCATCGCATGTCACAACATGACATGCCAGCCACGAGATTTGCACGTTGTCACCACTTGACGCGATCCTGAAAATGCGATTGGCAAAAAACATGCAACAGCACCTTCAAAGTGCTGCGCCTGTTAGGCAAAATGACAGTGGACGTCTCCAAAATGCTGCGTCTGCCACGAGAAACGCAACTCATTTTGTGAAAACCTCCCACAAGTACTGCGCCTGTCACACAAAACAAGTTTCGACACTGTATCAAACACGTGAGAATGTCACGAAGTGCCACGCCTGCCACGTAAAACGACATTGCAACTTGCTTTGACACCTTCGAAAAGGAGAGGTTTGGCAGCTTCCCCCATAGACACGGCGATGCCACAAGAAAACCAGAGAATCTTGACGAGACATGTAGATCATGTAGGAGCTTCAAAACGAGCATTTCGTCCGAGACTTCCTCCAATTTTCACACTTCGTAGCTTCAAAACCGACGTTTCCTATGAGTTTCCTAATAGACGTTCTCAAAATCGATGTTTCGTACAAGGCTTCCGTCAATTTTCATCACATGTCACAAAATGCAACGCCTGCCACGGAATTTACACGTTGTCACCACTTGACGCAGCCCACGGATTGTCCATGGAATATGTCCATGGATGAAAGTGAAGATTTTGTTTGCATATGTTTCTTTTAGTTTTGACTATATTGTATTATATGTTTTCAAATTGTTTGTAAATTTGGTTTATATATCATATGTCATTATATGGTATTATAATGTATTATATTTCATCACTTTTTTTAACAGAGGCACGTATATGCACTTGATCTCTCCAATGTGCCCATGCTGGTTCCTGGGGCGTGCTACGCACCCAAGCAGAAGGAGTTATATGATGTTATATGTATATAATTCCTCCTGCTTGGGCGCGTATATATCGCAATTGAAGGCTGCTCGGATGTTTCCGCTACACTGCTTGCTAGTTTCAGATAGGCACTGTTTTCCCACATGTTTATGTTGGGATATAAGGCCCAAATTAATAACATTCCTCCCGCCAAGGAAATCGAAGATCACATGAATCGCGGATTGGGAAAGCTGCTGCTAGCAGCAGCTGAAAAGCACGGCCATAGATCTATGGCTATGCTTTTCAGCAGCTGCTACCAGCATTAGATGCTTGGATGTGGCAACCCGTGTTGGGACAGGGCCACATGAAGTCATGGTGCTTGTGTTTTTTTGGATCCAGTCCCCTCCACAAAAGGAGCACGTTGCAGGGACGATCACAGAAGTTTGTGAACATTGAGGAGCTGATACCCCTTTAAAATTGAAGATATGATAGAGAGAGAATACGTGTTTCGCGTTTCATGTTGTGATTTTAAGACCCTACCAGTCGGTATAACATGCTGCAACTCACTGTGCATCCCATCTTCACTTTCATCCATCGACAGCGCGGCACCACCACGCTGTTGTCCTGAGGAGTCGGGTAGAAATGCAGCCAAACATACCTGAGCGTATTGGAAACCAATGTCCCTCGGCTGATGCGACAAGAGTACTTGAAGTTTACCGTTTAGCCGTGTGTTGAAAGTTTTTTCGGCTGAACTTTGGGATTGGTGTCTATTGCTTTTCTTCCTGGAGGCCCTGGTAATCATCACAATTCGTCGTCATGGTCCCGTTTTTGATGTTTAACGGATTTCGTGGCTCAATCCCCAAGCCATCAGCCAACCCTCATGGTATCCCGGTGAATCAGATAGATTTGGTTTCCTACCCGGCGACCGGGTGACCATATCACTGCCAAGAATCGAGGAGCGAGCGCGCAGGTGTTACGCCAAAGCTGGTTTCAAAGTGGAACCAAGCAGAAGCGCCATATGGGGCAAGAAAGGGCATGTGGCATCAGACTGGCAGAAAATGAAGAAGGTGCCAACTTGGTCAATGCAGGTCCCCAAAAGACAAGTCAACCAACATTGGAAATAGATTGAAATAGTAGGGTTTCGGATTTTTGTTTGGAATTCCTGTGACTTTCAGTTCCTTTGTTGGAGCATATGAAAGAGTACATTCTTCTGGCCAGAAACTGGTGAACATGCGCCACTGACTGTGCTAGTTTGTGCTGACGCAAACTCTTTGTCTGTAAAACGCATTGCAATAGCTTGCACCCAACAGCTCTTCATAGGGGATAGAATTTGGCCCCTGCCAAGGTGCACAAGCATGCATACGACAAGAAGGCCCCAGTTGCACAGTAGACACCCTCGATGGTCTTCATCATGCTGCTTTCGCTCGCCAGCAATGCTGCGAAACAAGAGGGATACGCCTCCGGAAACTGCAGGTGTCACCACGCATCAGTAGCCAAAGACGTTACTTTAGCCTTGCACAGCACATGTAAAAGCGAGTCCTGATGTGGAGTTAGGGAAGCTCATTTCTAGTCAGTATTGTTGAAATTTGCTGACTTGGGATCATCCTTCATACGAAACCTTTCGATAAATTGATCTTAAGGGCCATCCCCTATTCGGGAAAACAGTCCAAAATTCAAATGAAGAAACGATTCAATCTGCTTCATGGATGATTCGATTTGTACGCGCATGGCGAATTGCGGTGCCCAGGGCTTTGACCGCAAAGAAATTGAAACTTGAAACATGTGTGACTATGCATATATATATTATATAGATATAGATATATATATATATATATATATTTATTTATTTATTTATAATTTACACATATACATACTATAGAATTACTATAGCATATGGATATTAGTTGTTATTTATATAGATGATCAACTTATTGAATGGTAAAACTACGTAAGGTTTTTTTGCATAGATGATCCCAAAACTGTCTATAGTAACATGTGCCAAGGAGCTGAAGCCCCAAGCCAGCTGTGTATTTTTGCTGGGATGGATTGAAGAGAAATATCAATCAATAGTGCTGAATCATAATGATGGGTAAATATGGATCAATCATAGTCCCATATTACCATATTTATTACCATAATATTATGGTACCATATAGTATTACTATATGAGACCCAAGCTACGAAACCTTTTGGTCCCATAGTGTTACTTGAAGCTTCAACCAGAACTGGAGTCCTGCAGGAGGCCTGGCAGAAGTCGGGGGCCGCTTCTTGGCTTCTTGTGGATGGGTAGGACTGGGATGTATCCCTCCCTTTTTTTCTGCCTTGATATGTAGATATATAATATATTCATATATACATATATTAATTAAAATGCATATACATACATATATATATACATATGAGGATTTGGCCACTGCCCAACTGAAAGAAAAACTTGGCAACTGAATCTGTACGAGAATTATGAGACTTAAGTTTGTAAATACATCTCCAACCTTAATCTCTGTAAATGACCCGGCTTAGTGTTACCTTTTGCGTGTTTTTCCCCTTGTGTTTGTTTCATATTGTGGAGAGTGGGTAGGTTAGGTTGGCACAGAGCTCTGGCTAGGTTGGCATGCCAGGTTTTCCGTGATGTCCTGGGTTTTTCGTGCCCTGTGAGGAATGTTGAGCCCTGTAGTTTTGGCTATCAAAAGAATGCGGTTGCATGCCTGCCTAAATATATATATATATAATTGACATAATTATTACAATAAGAGTAATAATATAGTAATAATGTCTATATAATATAGACATATATATATATAACAATATACGCACATATATAAGAAGGCATATGTACAACAACATCTATGTATAATATAATATACGTGTATATATGTATATATACATGTTATTTTGATCAAATGCAAGACCTATTGTTACATATTTTTATATTACATATTTTGACTACTGTGATTTATATACTCTACTTCTCCAACAACATGCGGGTCAAATAAGACATTCAAGCGCCCCTGGACTTCAGTTTCGCACTTGATACAGATCCTTGCAAGACACCATGTTGACCAACATGGCCGAAGGCAAGATTTCCCCTGCTGTGTCATGAGATTTGGTCCATCTCCCCTGATATTATTTTGCTTCTGTGGCACCGGTGGCGATTGACCATGCTGAGTCTGCGCCTGCAGCCGCGCCCGAGAGCATGCAGAGTGAAGGAACCGAGGCGCAAATGCAGAGGCGCTGCCAGCTGCTTGCCTGCCAACCTGGAGCACAATGGATTGTGATGGATTGAGATGGCATATAATCCATTCTAATCCCATCCCCCGATTATTCAGCACACCCCATTAATTTTGGTCGCATATGTGGTTTAGCCCCTTCTAAACCATGGTTTCGGGGGATGCTCAATATTGGGGGGATGGGATTACAATGACCGGTCCATCATGGCATCCTATCCTCGGTGTACTCAGCTCATTTGGCAGGCAGGCTGAAGAAGTTTCCACCGGGGAGGTTCAATTCCACGCGGCCATGGTCGACGAGTAAGCCACTGGCAATGCGAGGGGGTGAGGCTGTCAGGCTGTGATCAACTTTTTTGGTAGGGGTGTACTGATGTGTCTTGCTTAAAGACTGTGCCTTAATGATACTGAGAGGATCTTAGAGGAAAACATATAGATTGATGGAGGATTGCAAGCTGCAATGATACGGATAGAATTTTCACAAATTTCGACAACTATCGCCCCATCAGTTTGTTGGTTACGACTTGGATGATCATTCCACTCAGTAGCTGGGTAGCAACCACAGTCACAAGGCATAAAAAACAATGGCTCATGGAGGAACCCAATCACTGTAAATTACTATAGGGAACGATGATCCCAATGCAGCACCGGCGTATGGCAGTTCCAACCGGTCAACCAATCCAAAATCAACAAAATGGAGCTGGTGTATCTACATCAAATCCAGTCAACATCATTTAACATTGTGTAATGACAAAACTACTACTGTACCAGTCTGCCAGTCAACCATTCATTTGATTTTGATTTTTTAAAACTTTTTTAAAAGGGTATTTCAACATACGACTTAAACAGGAATATCGCGTCGTATCGCCAGGTATGTACAGGATGTCGCCACGGTGTCGCAGAACGTGCGCGACATGCAGCGCGCCTTGCTGGATCTGGCACTCCTCACTGAGGCAGAGGGAAGCGGCCGGCTGTGGGACAAGTTGGGTCGGAACTGAGATGAACTAAATATATCCAAATAATAACTAAATCAGGTTGCAGGTATCAGCCAACATCGGCTGATCTGTATATGCCTAGAATTACAGACATATGTTGTGACTAAGTCACCACATGGGAACTAGATCTTTGTGCTAAGGCCTAGTGTATGAACACTGAACCGTGAATGAAAGTGCATTGGGATCTTCCAAGAGCCACTCTGCAAGGCCCAAGGTGGGGTGTTGGATAACATTGAGAAGGGCATGGAGCAAGCTTCTGCGAGCACAGGTGCGCCATGCGTATCCGAGCATGACTGGGGGTCATGATATAAAGCCAGTTTGGGGTTAAGGGTATAGCCACAATGTCATAAACCCAACCATGGGGGCTGATTTTTTTAGATTTGGTCTGGTTTAATTACCGCATTAGTTTGTCAGGATTCTGATTCACGGAAGTTCCATCAGAGGTGATTGGTTGAGTTGGTTTGAAGCCGCTGTTTTGAACAACATTTCCCACTTCACAGTTTTCAGGGGAGGCTTGGCTCAAAATTCAAGGGCGTTAAAATCAGAGTTGGTCATTGTTAAACAGTTAAACATCTTATATTTTTGGCAATTCCAGAGTTACCCCTGGGACTTTACCCACGAACAGTTGGCTTGGACCACCCCCTGCATTTCGCATGACAAAAACCCTGGCAGATGGCGCAGTGCGGGAACTTCGCATCACGCAAAGAAATCAGATGAGCCACCTGGTTCTGGAGATCTTTGAGGTTTCATCCCAGGTATTTCCATAGTTGTAATGGATATATCAAACAATTCCCAACATATGGGAGCTTATAACCATGGTTGTACCCGTGCAAATCAATGAATGTGTGAGTGTGAGTATGTCTGGAGCGTGTTACCAGCGTTGCAGCATCCAAGGCTACCGTCGGATTCTTTGCATGGTGCTAGTGGCCCTGCTCATTGCAGTGCTGCCGGCTCCAGCTTGATTAGTTCGGATTGGTTTACCCTCTGGTTATGTCAAAATAGCTATGGAAAATCCACTATTTCTATGGCCATTTTCAATAGCTATTTTGACATAACCAGAGGGTATCATCAGGTTTTCTCGGAAAATAGAGAATTGGAGGGGCATCCTTACCATATGGTCATGGCTATAGATTAGCCACGAAGGGTGCAGAATGGCAGAATGGGGAATACACCGACATACCAAATCAGTGGATGTAGGACCAACAATGGGATGTTTCAGGAAGATTTCGAGAGTTATCTGGGCGTTTACGATGAAAGCGGCAGAGGAAAGGCTTCTTCAAAGAAACTGAATGGTGGAACCTCTTGGCGCCTAGACTCAACGTCCCAGAATGTTGGTATATATTCCCCCAAATTCCAGAAGTTTAGAATGGTTTGGAACCTCATTTTCCTATATTTTCCTCGGTTAAATTGGCAAAAGCTACCACAAAATGGGGGTAAATCCCGTGGGTTCACCTAGATTCTGCAAAATGGATCCGCCAGGTGGCCACATGTGCAGCCGCAATCCATCGTTCAGCCTAGGCACGGGTGTGTCATGTTTCACCATCCACTTTGGTGATGTTGAAATCCACAGAATTTCGGGATTCTGCCTCCCCAATTGACCAAATCAAGGTAACATATATCGAATTTTTGACGCACACACACACACTACTGGAGCAAAGTTGAATGCAGGGGACCATACATCCCAATCATCCCAGGCATGTTCCACTCCCTTGTTCTTGAGTCATACGTCATGCAGCTTAAATGCTCCAGGGTGCAAGCGTTATCGGCTGCCAGGTCAAGTCACGCACTGATTTTTTGCGTACTCGTCCCTGGCGGCCTCGAAGATTTAAACCATAGAGCCGCTAGGGTGGGAAAGATATTTGAGCCATCGCCATGCCTGTACTGCGTGATGCATAAATAATCAGACGAATACATTAAAAACCCTAGACATGGTGATTTGAGTCACTTGGGCTCGCAAGTCGGAGATTTGTTCAAGAGGTCAAAGTGATAGTTTGCCGATGGCATATCGATGGCGAAGCGATGAAGTGGGTGGGACATCCTGGTTGATCCAGCGGCCAATCGTTGTTCATTGCGATCGTTGCTATAGGATAATCATGGATAATCCCTACCTGGGATCATCACAAATGACCAAAGAAGTACTTTTCAGATGTGGAAACCGGGAAACCACGAATTGAATCCTATGAATCATTCCCTGTCTTCGTTGGATTATTGGAAAACTGAATTCTTGATGGGAAGAACCCTAATTTCCTATTCCTTTAAATCCAAGTGATTTCTGGCCTCTGGTTTCCACAACCAATGGATGTCATGCTGAGCTTTTGGTCCACCTTCACCTCCATCGTGAATTAGTTGAAACATCGAGGGCGTCATCGGGCCGCATCGTCGTCAAGATGGATGCAGATGGATTGTGGATGTCATGGAGTCGTTCGATTACCTCGTTTTAGGGATTAAACATGATTAAACACCATTTCAAATGGTGTTGGAATCGTGGTTCACTTCCTCACCGGTGATGTTTATGGAGGGAAAAAACGGAACCCTGTACAGCCAAAAAGGATCTGGGGATAATTGAAGTCAATCAAGACTGCGGGGAAAACCAATGGTTGGGTGTGTTTCACATTTTTGGAGCTGCGGGTTTAAGAGTTTGAATGTTGGGCAACTTCATGCAGCTTGTCTAGTCAACAAATGATCGTGAATTGTGCCGATGACGACGGTGCGTTTGTACATGCAGACGCATGGCCTTCTTGAGTGACCAATCCTAGGTTAAAAGGAGAAAGCAGCAAAAAGGGAATCACAAATTGCAGTATGTCAGTATGATGAACTTTCCGATATATCACCGTCGTGAACTACTTGGAGGCACGGTCATCCAAGTGCTGCGCTCTCTTTTCCTGTTTCAACTGCCGACATGTCGCGGACCAGAGGCGAACTTCCCCGTTGAACTTCACTGAAGCGCTCTTGACTGGCATAGAAAATAGGTCGAATGGGGGTGGATTTGTGGCAACATTCACCAGGGATAGCGATAGTAATTTTTCACTTATCACTTTTTGGGCATAACCTCCCAATTTCTTATTAACCCCAATAAAAATACATCTTTCATCATCTTTCCTATTTTGGGGAAATTGATTATGAGGAAAGATGTACAAATCATTATTAATCCAGGGTTGACATTTCTCCAAGAACTTTGTGGAACGCTGAGCCTCGTCCCAGTGGCATGTGTCTGCAACATTTGTGTGTGGCCTCGCCTGCACAAGTTGCGGCCAGAGCGACTGAGCCACTGGTGCTGAGACAAAAAGGCATGCTCCTTGTCAGATCCTTTCACACTTGATTTGTCTTGATTATTCTTGATTGGATCTTGATTGGTATACTATGTGTTATTCCATATTCCATATCTATTCCATATCTATTCCATATCTATTCCATAACAAACTGGGGTAATCCCAGGTACACATACTTTTAGGCCTTCACACTAGATGTCATTCCATCATCGCCGTCTGAGTTCATCGTCGTGGTGGGCTGGATCATCCTCCTGTACTGGACCTGCGATGTCGTAATGAGCTGGGACCCTGGTGCCAGACGGAGACCTTTAAGACATAACGATTATAATTCACACAACATATCAAAACTGGTTGGTGGTTTGGAACATGTTTTCCATATGTTGGGAATAATAACCCTAACTGACTAATATTTTTCCGAGGGGTTGAAACCACCAACTAGATAATAAATACCACATGATAATATATCATTTATGTTAATGTTATCATATGTATTATAGTCGACTATGTGTGGGCGGCAGGTATTGTCGGCCTGAAATGCTGTAGAACATTGGGAGAGTGACAGTTGGTTGATCAAAAGCCAAGGGTTGAGATCCAGAGAGTCAAAACGATGGTAGGGATCAACCAACAAAGACAGTTGAGCATGTTGAGCCGGTTTCAGTAATTATGATATATGATGTGTTTCATTTTCTGTAAGACGATTTAGCATCCTGCCAAAAAGATGATTTCACATGATTTCGCATCTTCCCGCTTGACTTTCGCAGATGCGACTGTCTGTTGGGGATGGCCCTTTGTGGCACTCGCCGAAGCGTCTCTAGGCAACTTGGTGGGCTTCTACGAAGAAGGGGTGTCTTGGTTGAAAACGGGTGACGGGAAGAATGGCCTCAGTGTCAACAGGGTGGTAAATCTACTTACCATGTGGCGATGGCTATTTACTGCCCATTTATGGCAAAATTTAATGAATGATTCATTTATCCTTCGTTCATGTGCTGTGCTATTTGTTGCGATCATCCCCCCAGCATTGGCTTCTCGGGCCAACATTAGCAGGATGTTTGCCTCTGATGGGGCCTTGAAACCCCGAACGAAAGGACATGGCCTGGAAAATCCTGGAAATATGGTCGTCAGCCAGATGATTCCATTTGATATGCTCGGTTCCACTAGTCACTTTCTGAGTGTTTTGCACTAACGAGCAGGGTGCAAGCCACCAAGCAGCTGCATCGCATTTGTAGTCAGAACCTCTGGTTTATTTTTGCACCAGGAGTTGGTCATGAACCAACGGCGCATCATTCTGAGATACTTGAGGCCCAGTGGGGCGGTTCAACTGGGTTGTGGGCGGAGTCGCATGCTGGGAAAGAAACATGTCTTGAGCCTGGGTTCTGTGAGATCCATGGCCACGCAGCTTTTGGGGTCAATGTGGTTGGCTGCATGATGGATTCCAGAAGACTCGCGTGCCTATCTCATTTTGATGAGGGGACGGTAACGGATGATGAACGCTTCTTCCATCCCATCCATATAACTCATGGTTCTACCATTCTACCCCTAACCTGGCTGTTGCTTTGGGGATCGTTGGGGAGCAGGGCCCGGCAGGGCCCCAGGCCATGACATCACCCAATCATAGTCTCAGTCGAGCCACAAAACGCCTCACATCTCAGTCGAAAAGGACTTGGTTCCTCATCGACTTGATCGTGCTGGGACCCGATTGGTCAGCAGCCAAGTCAGCCAAGATGGGAGTATTGTTTTCATGCCTGGGAATCGCCAGCTTTGCCTATCCTTTTTTGCGATAAACCAAAAGTCCATGAGTGACCGAAGGTTCCTTCGCCTTTGGACGGGGAGCAGTGGAGGTGCCCATGGGAAGGACTTCACCACGACATACCACGACCTCACCATGGAATTTTACCGAAGGTTAGCCATGGAATGGGTTCAACATATATATAATATAATATAATATACAATATATAATATGTATATATATAATATAATATACAATATATAATATATATATAGTATATATATATAATATATATATAATATATATATATATATATATTAAATCAAATGATGTCAAAATTGTAAACCCACCAAAATGGTTTGCAGTCATCCACTTCAAGAGCTTTCTTGCGTGAAAAGGGTCCCGATAATTTAACATGTTTTCCCATCTTTACCAAGCTGTCTACATGAGGCGATCCGGGCATGGCCATTCAGAACCGGAGCAGCAGCGAAGGAGGGCGCCTTTGGGGACTTCAACCAATCCCCCCCAGGGTGACCTCAGGCAGCACTTGTGATACCCCTGTATTGCAGTGCATGTACTGTAAAACATTGTATATAACTACTGTAAAACCCTACGATTAAAAAAAGTGCATGTGAACTCGCGCCACCCCAGAATGATATCGATGATCACTTCCCCTTCCATACAACACCAGGGTTTCTGGGCGATGTTTGGTACGGGGGCGAAGCGGTCACATAGAAATAGAGAACTTTCCAATTCTGGGGTTATTTGTTCTGACCCACTACATCAAATGGACTCTTAGCTGGTGGTGGAGGTTTTTTATGCTTTAAAATGGTAGTTCCCCACTTCTGCTGGGGCAATGCCCATCTCCATCGCATTTTCTTTGATAAATTGGTCGATGGACTTCGTAGACCTTTCCTTGAAATTGTCCAGCAAAACGCACTGAGTGATGCAATCCATCACCATCGGTGTTTTTTTACTGTAGATCATGTTAAATCCAGTTTTTGCTGCTTGTTAGAATATCGGAATTTCCAGTGTTGAAAATTACAGTAAATGTTTTTTTTGCGTCCAACATCCGTGTTAATGTGATATCCCCAGAATTTTGATGGTTAATTGTTGTTGAACATCCTTCATGTTTGCTGGTTACATCTACGCAAGTCTTTGATGCGTGAATGATCGATATCACCCCTATATCACCCATCAACACATGGTAACATCACGTACCATCAAAAAAGATGACAGTCAATCTAATACATGTTATATACTTATCGTTTGAATCCAAGATCCCCTACTTTCAGACGTTTGAATCCATCATATCATGTTGTTTATGCATTCTCAGATTGCTGATGGTGAAATCCCTCATTTTTTGAGATCCCCTTCATCATGAACGGATTATACAGTGTATATATATATATATATGTACATATTACATACATATGTATGTCTCGTATCATATTCTATCCATTTGATCTTCACCTGGGTTCAATCCATCATCAGCCTGTCAACAGGAGAGATGGAAGATGTGGCAAATGCCTTGCGCAGCATCCGTGTGCTGCGTGTGCTCGGATGCTCAGTTTGACCAGATGTTACCAGTCAACTGGGGGGTTGACTGCCAAAAGTCGGGGCTTGACTGGTGTGAGCAACAATTCAACGGAAATATCACCAGCAAATCCACTTCGATCAAGAACTGGGTTCTGTTACCCAAGAAATGTCCCAGCCACTTCCTATATCCCAACTTCAGAGATCATCTTAGTTGATGGGCTCAACCATCAACCGGATGTATTTCAACCGGATTTTCTTGGTGTGCTGGGCAAATATGGCAAATCATCGAAGCCAGGGTCCGATTGCTGCGTCTGCTCAAAGTGCAGCGGCTCATGAATCTGGTGCGGGCCCCCATGGACGTGCATGGAACAGAATTCATCGGACCTAAATTGGATTGTTTGATATGGTTTGATGAATGGGGTAATATTAATATTAATGTTTGATATACCCATTGATTTGATAAATATAAGACTAGATAATATAAGTAATATAAGTGATAAATTGAATGGTTCAGTTGATAGCCTAATATTGAGCCATACTCACATTTGTTTACATGGTATTTGGTACATCATGCGATGTAACGAACTAGTTCACAAGCAGGAATGAAATTATTGGGTTGGTCTTCTGTAAGCATGGTGATCCCATAGGACATCCCATGGAAGTTCCATGACCACCTGGCTTTCCATATTTTCCATGCCGATTCCACATGGGGATCACCAGGCACTGCAACTTGGCAATGGAACATCCGCATATAGATGTTTCTCCCATTAAAAGAATATTGAAACCACCATTCATAGGTTATTGAAATTTATTGAACAGTTGCTTGACTACGAGGGTAATTTTGTTTCACCTGCAGTTTTTCTAAACAGTCAAAGCCAACGGATGGATACGGATGGGACCATGTGCAGGTTTATGACATCTTGGATAGCGAGTACATCTTCATTCTCTTCACCCTCTTAAAGCCGTGTCCTCGGTCGCTCTCGGTGTCTTTATTTTGAAGGCCACTGCAGATCCTCCATAGGTCTGGTGATCTGTAGTATGGGTACGGGTCAATACCTATTATTAATAATACAATTTTTAGGGGGATGAACATCCATTTACCAGCTATTTTGATGTCAACCAGGGGTATAGGGTTTTGACCTATACCCATATGTTGTAATGATTTCTTTGAACATGTGAAAGAGGCTGTCTTCGGTGGTGTCATGCGTGTTGTCTATGGTTCCCCTAGCTGTGTTACGCGGCAATTTAACACTGCAGGAGTGCAATGATGACAGCATACAGGGATACAGGCAATCAGTCATAGGATACAATGAATGAAACTATAAAACATGTGCAATAAGTGGACTTTGCAAATCACACTGGTTTTGTGTCACCGTTTCCGACCATCTTTGACGCTCATTGACTTATTTGATTTTTCATGACAAAGTCAGCAAAGGGTATGTTTCTTTCCCCATCTTGGGATTCATTACTGCCTCAAAAATTGGGGGTATGCCCTTCAACATGACCATTCAACATGATCTTAAGAAAATATGGGGAAACACACATTAACCGTTAAGCTACTGGCATCATTAAACATTCAAAAGATTGGTGTTCCCATGTGTTCCCCCATCTTTTTTGGTGGTATTTAATGGTGTATTCCCTCGGAATCCATCAAGAACCCATGGTGATTTCGACCAACTCAGGCTGACATGCCTCATCAGCGTGCTGAACCACGTGATTGCCTGCATGTGGTACGGCGTAGGCGGGGACCGTTGCTCCATTGGATACCCCCAACTGGGTTGCTGGAAAATAGATGTTTAATGATGTTTCATGTGAAATAAGCTCTCAACCTAATAATACTGTATTTTTATGTATTTTTGAGGCAGACCCAAATGGAAGATGAAATCGAAGCGCTACTAATCTTTGGATGACTTAACCCGATAGGAGCTATTATAAGGATGTCACACATGTCTTGGCCGGCGTTTCTTACAAGAAGCTCTTGGATGTCTTTAATCAGTATGCGATTTGCGAGGCTATATCACCATGGAGAACAACGAGAGGAATTGGCTGGAGAACACCAACTGGAAAGAGGATAAAGAGTCCAGGCATGGAGCGGTTGAGCTGCTGAAGAGGTTGAGCTGCTGCATTGCAGGGGCCATGATTACACATGAAATTTTGTGTACCCTCTACTATTCAAGCATGGTTTGCTGGAAAATCATCCAATTGTATTTTTGTCATTCATATTCATACCTTCATATTATTACTGAAGTGTAAATACAATATTTCATGGTACAACAGTGAAACAACCGCGGCTGCGACAGGGTCATTGATTGCAGCATGGTGTATCAATACACCACAGCACTGCACTGGAGTTTGACTCAGTTGCTTGGCGGTTAGTGTGTAGTAACGTGTTGGATTTCACCAGTGGGGCTAAAGAAGATACAGCTCGGTCAGCTAGCCACCTGGCCTCTTTGCATCGAACAGGAATCAGGATTAAAGGCGCTGGTCCTTTTTGGGTACATATTGTCAATTGTATCATCCATGTTTTTGGTAATGTGGTATAACGGTATACCCAATTACCCAATAATAAACACCTCCCATTTGGGGATCATATTTATCACCAATTTATGATGGTTTTGGGGATGAAGATGGATAAAGATCAGCACTTGCCAAGGTATGATGATCCACAAGTCATCCTATGGCTTATGCAATATGACAGGGTTCCTTTAGGGGAAAATTTGCGGGAAACTGTCCAATGAATTGTGGCTTGGGTTTCCCCTAAAAACTACTAAAGACCACGGACGATGGACTTTTTAAGTCACCAAATTGAATCATATTGAATCATCTGGCAAAAAAAACATCACTTTTCATCGTCAATGGCCATGGATCGGGTAGCCCCGCCATTTGGTGACAAAGCCATGTGGTAAATGTGGCTGTGTCATGGTGTCGTCCGATCAGAAAATCATGAATTCAGGGGGACCATCCCACGGTTCCCAGGTTCACGCCAGCCTCCATGGATTCCTTTGCGAGGAATGTGCCTGAAAGGACGAGCAATGGGGGATGGTTACGTGAGCCATGAATAAGGGGGTTATAGACAGTTATAGACTCATAATTTTGTTGGGGACTATGACAACCTAGAACTACCTAGAATATTTGGATGATTGTTGTGAGTTTGCAAGAGTTTACAACAGTTTACAACCACTGAACTTTCCAAACGACGTTTTCTTGTGCACATAAATCCATGGTTGGGACAAGGAGCAACCGCCTGAAGTGGCATGCGGTCAAAACTGATTCTTTTTCCGTTTCCCGTCACCCCAATTCTCTGTGTGACAACAACAACCTCACCAGAGGTGATACGGTGGGTGGAAGAAATCTTGCATGGTTGAAACCCTATAAATAATGGGATAGACCATGATAAACCTATCATCTGGTGCAGGATTTAGCAACCATCCACAGTATATCTTTGTGAAGAAATCGGACACCATCAGAATGGCCTCATGAATCATTGGGGATCCTGCCAGGATTCTAAGCATTGTCGTTGTCTTTTTTGCTGGGACGCCTGGAGATGGCCCTCAAGAGTTGAGATAAGGTGCTCTGGGGAATGGGAATGTCAATGCGTTTTATTTTTCCATAGGAAATAGGATACATGACATATATATTATATATTAGGAACATTATGGAAATGTCACCACATTTGGAAGAAAGAATATGATTAAGAATGACTGGATACTGGTAGACCACTCCATGCTATGACAATTTGTTTTATCACGTTCTTCCTTTTTTTGGGGTACGAACTCTTGAGCCACAACCAACGATCACGAGGTCCTCAGCATCAACATCCTGAAAGACTTTCGACATTTTTAGACAATTTAGGGATGTCTAAAAACTGGGAACCGCACATTCCCATGGTTTACCCCATTTTGAATGGCCAGAAATCGTGGGAAAATCCACCATTGTAGGAGACACCCCTTTTAAGCATAGCCTGCAACGTTGAGGCTCTCATTGGCTTTTCGTCCATCGTGGGCAGCGTGACCAACTCTGTTGCGTGATTTGGACGCAGTGAGGCAGTGGCTGATGTGTTGGAAGCTACTTAAATTAAAAGATACTAAAAGTGTATAGCAACCCTGAAAAAGATAGACACGTGAAAACTTACTAGAATAGTGATGATTTATTATTCCATCTTTTGGTTGCTACTAGTATAGGGTAACCCATGGAAACCCAAAATGACCAGCGCTGGGCGACCTTTGCGGCCACTTCGCGGGCTGTGGGATTATGCGTTCTTGCTATCTATTTGAACTGCACGAATTGACATCCAAATTAATCCACAAAAGGAAGACTGGGGTCCTAGACTGGTTTCTGTTTTCAAACACTATATGTACATAATATACAAATAATATGAAGAATTTATTCCGAAGAATGGAATGATGATCCTGATTGACTGGCACTTGTTCGGGGTGGCTAATCCACCAAGCAAGTGAGGGTCCAAGAACTGTGAGTTCAGATGTTCATAGTACATAGCGCTTGTTGTGGCCGCCAGTCTCCAAAAACCTAGGCAACTTCAGGCATTGCATGGGAATTCGCGCAGACAGTTCTGGCTCCTGCGGAAATACCTCAATGACTCTTGGTGGTGCAAGATGGCTGTTTTAGACATCTCAGATATGGGAGATAGAAAGCACATGAAAGCACCAATCTTGAGTTTGTTGATTTTAGATGAGTTTGGCACAATTTGCATTGCGATCAGTTCCAACTAATTTACATTAGTATTGGTAATATTTAGTAATGCTAAGTGCATAGCAGTGATGAATCAGTCGGAGCCTTTTTTTCCTGTTGGATATGGATGATCCCACTGTGGCAGTCTGGTCTCTGTCAATTTCTTGGTGCCAAAGTCACATCGGACAACTTGTCCAACTTGTCCAACTTGTCCAACTGTTGGATCTTTTTGGGTTCGCGAAGTTAGCATTTGGCGGGATAGGAACATTAGAGACTGCCAGGACTGCATCAGTCCATTCACTGCCGTGCACCCAGGAGAAGGGGATCTACGAACCCACGCGCACACGGTTGTTTTCCTTCCTGGAACATGAAGTTGAGCGCCGGCGCAAGGACAGTGGACAGAGAGTACATCTTTGACAATGTGGAATCAATCATCCCAAAGGCCAAATAATCCCAAATCACTGAAGATGACCATTGGAGTTCAATGGATTCCCAAGGTTTGCAGGTTCCCAAAACTTAACGAGCGATGGCGTTCAGGACATCAAGGAGGAAGACGTGAGGTGCGGGGTTTGTGGGCTCAACGGAGGATGCAGGTGAGATCAGGTGAGTTTCTAGGATTGCAGCGTGCACCACATCATTTTATACTTGGGTCCCCTTGAAAGAGACAGACCCAAGTTTGATAATTACTATCATGGCCTCAAGCCACATCTTCGTCAGTATACCTTTGGCTCAAGCGAACAGCACCATCACCCACAGTCATGGCGCCAGTGGTTAACCTTCACGTGACGCTTCTGGATAAGAGCCAGGGCACCGCAGTGGCGGGAAGCGCATCTTTGGACACCTGCGTCTGGAAATTAGGGGAACAAGTTGGGATGCAACTTGGACTAATGATGGGGGGTAGTTGGTAGAGAACAGTGGGTTGAACTGTAAAAAAAAACTATTGACACGGGCAATTTATCATAATTTATCCAATTTTAGGGAGGTGGAAGTGGATTGAGCGACATTTGCTGATTGTGCTGGTGCTGTCCATGAAAATGGGACGAGTCATATTCTTCCAGGGTGGTCAAGAGAACCAACCAGCCAAGCAACTTGTCTTGTTGGATCTTTTTTCGAAGGATCCGTCCCCTTGAGAGTTCCGCCTGAGGCTCAACATTACCACCTCGCCCGCATCAAATTTCGGATACATCTTCCGAAGTGCCGCTGGGGTCTGGAAAAGCAACCAACATCCCAAGTTGACGCTGGCAGATGCCGGAGTGAAAAACACAGGCCTGGGGTTGGACTTAAGCTGTGGCAAGGTGTAAAAGAGGATGGTTGAGTATGGTTGAGTATGATTGAATGGTCAAGTTGGCAAAGTCCTCTGATGTGGCCATGCCTAACAACCTCAAAGTGCTTACACGCTCAAAACCCAGCCATGGCCAGGTGACATGGTCCAGTTCATGGGTGACTTCGAACCCTTCACTCCTGCGCCCGTGGTACCCGGGGCTGTGGTCGAACTGCAGATGATGCTGATCGGCAAAGGCAAGACCTCCAACGTGACAGGCGCCGGGCAGGGAACTCATGGGAATGGTCATTTGCAAATGAAGGATAGATTGATACGGGGTAAATACAAGTAAACACCCTTCAACAACAAGCTGCCCACTGGTGCTGTGTAGGCAAAGCCACACTCGACAAGTGCGTGTGGGAACTTGGCTATGAGGTCGGATTGCAACGAGCCTCCGAGAATCTTGGCTCCTTCATCTCTTTCTTTCAGATGTTCTGGTTGATTTCTCGTTATACTGTAAATCAATATAATATATATATATATATTATGTATCTGTATAATATATATATATATTATACAATAATAAAGGATTATAAAGGCATGTGCTTGAGTTTAACGTACCATTTTTGGAGGGGCAGGTGGTCTTATGACCGGGGAATTTTCGATATTTCTTCAGCCATGCCCCCGAAAAAGTCCAAGGACTGCCGACGGATGTGGGTTTGCATTCGGATCCAAGCAATGGAACAGCAAGCAGCATCCCAATCTCACCCTGGCCGATGCAGGTGGGGTATGTGATTGATGCGACCATTGGGAACATGGTCTGCTGTTAGACAAGACAACGTTTGGAAATACATGGAAATATGAAAGACATTTGCAATCACAAGATGACAACATATTATAACATATTATAACCATACCCAAAGAAACATTGGAAATACAATGAAAAATACCAAGATAGACAACTGCGGATACTTCAAATCGTGCTTCCGGGTGTCAGAGGGTTATCAATTGTAGCTTTCAACTGGTTTCAGGTATGTTTTTTTCTCCGCCCACTGGTTCACAACCGTTTTTTTTGCCAGGTGGAGCAACAACTTCCCCAAAAACCAAGTGTCAGCTGGACAAAAACGTAGACCATAAACAAAACATTGCTGTCATGTCATCTGATTAGTCATATTTGTTACCAATCTGAGTTCACTAGAACTGCTCAATCACCCCATGGACAACCATAAAAATTACACCAACACCACTGGTAATTTACTACAAAGTGGTAAACCCTAGAATAAAGCTACCATTTGGGGAGTAGTTACCACCCATTTATGATATTTTATGATGATATTGAGGATGGTTTATTGGGTTTACTACAACTGGGGTAGGTGTCCGCAACCACGGCGACACCATCGCCTTCCTGGGCGACTTCGGCCCTGTGGCGCCCAGCAGCCCCGGCCTCGCATCCACCGCGGCGCCGGCGACGCCGCCCAGCGCCCCGGCCTCGCCGCCGCTGGCACCGGTGCCGCCACCAACGGGCGCGGGACCAGTGGTGGATTTGAAGGTGACCGTTGATGCCTTGAGTAACTGGGATTGGTTGGTCTGGTTGGGGGGTTGGTTTGACTAAGTGGGGTTGGTTGGGGTTGGTTTGGGGGAATTTACTGGGTTTTTGTTGGTTTGGTTTGGTTGAGTGACTGGGTTCTAATCTGTCGATGGGGATATGTTAATGCAGAGTATACGGAATTATATATATAACCAAAGATAGGGATAGTTAGAAGCATTCAGAATAACGGGGAAGGAACCAAGAATAGTATTGAAATTCCAAGGTGGTGGTTGCAAAGATGTGTACCTTTTTCTCAAAGATGAAATGATCAACTCAAGAGACTCATCCTATTGGAATCTCTTGGACCGGGTTTTTCAACATGTTCAAACCAGGCAAGAGCGTCACCAAGATCTGCAGAACAGGCCTTGAGAAGTGCGTTTGGACCTTGGGACAGGATGCCGGCACCGCCATGCTGACCTGTCCAGCCTCCAATGGAGTGGTCTTCAGCTATGCTGGACGTCAGTGGAGAAGCAACCAGCATCCCCAGCTCACCTTGGCTGAGGCATTTCCAGTTTCCCAGACAGTTGACATCCATAGAAACTCATAGAATTGCTAAGGCGATCCAAGACTCTCCAAAGTCCCTAAGATGTTTGGATGTGAAGGCCAACCAAAGTAAATCTGGCACTGACCTCCAAATTATCCTTGCCTAAGATATCCAAAACATGTCCAAAACGAACTCTTGATGTTGGCCACGTTGCATAACCGTCTTGTACAACGGCGTTGGCCCCTGGAGGCAGGCGTCCACCAGGGCGGCGAAGCCATCCTCTTCCTGGCAGACTTCCAACCGCTGCCGGGCGCAACGAAGTCCTGTGGCGAGGTCGTGGAGCTGACGGTGACGTTGCTGGACAAGAGCAAGAGCTGGAGCAAAACCGCCAAGGCGCCGCTGGAGAGGTCTGTCTGGATCTTTGGGCAGGAGATGGGGATGGGGATGGTTCAAGCCCTGGAATGAAGGGTAAATTTTCCGTGGCTCCATTTTTTGAAAAGGGGTTGGCATTGAAGCGAAACTCCTGCAACCCCCAGGAAGTGGGAATGCGCGGCTTGACCACTGGGCCACTGTCCAATTATGGATATGTCTTCAGATGCGGTGGCACTGAATGGAGAAGCAACCAACATCCCAACCTGACGCTGGCAGAGGCTGGGGGTTAGTGAGATAACCCAACACTTCCAACCTGTCGGTGAGTTGAAGGTTGCAATCCCCTCAACCGGCCAGGGTGATGTCACAACCCGACAATTCTTCAACCAACTGGAGACTAGTGGAGTGTATCCCCCATTTTGTTAGTGCAATCACCATTTCTTCCGGGTCATATCATTCCTGTTTGGTTTTTTCAAGGGCTTAAGTACCACAAACAGCCCCCAAGGCCGGAGTGACCAACGGCGCCACCGTGGAATTCCTGGGCGATTTCGAACCTCCAGCAGCTGCAAAGCAGCCGAGTCAGTTGGTGGAGGTGCACGTTGCGCTGCAGAGCAAGGACAAGACGGACACATCGACGCACAAAACCTCGTTGGACAAAGGCTTCTGGGGCGGCTGGGCAAAGGTCCCAGGATGATAGTTGTGCAATGTTGTGCATGACAATATAGAATATCAATGAAGATCGATAAATATCTCTATAGTATTCTATAGTCAGTTTCTTGGCATACAAGCAACATAATTAGGGGATGTATTCATTAAGCGACTAAATTGGGCAGATTTTACTGCCAACAACATCAACGACAAGGAGACTCAATGACAGCGAATGGCAAAGATTGGAATTTACCTACCTACAAGAATATCAAGCAACCGGGTTGCCACCAACAAGCAATGTGGTGTGAGGAGACGACTACTTGTATTGTGCTTGATTGTTTCCTGGTGGATTTCAAATCTGAAATCTGAACCATCCTGAACCGGTGATATATCGTCATAGCGGTTGATCTCGAGGTAATCTGTGACGACTGTCGCTGTTTCAGGTGTTTGGAGGTTTGGTGAAGAAGCGGGAGTGCAAAAGGTGCTGACCAGTTCGCTGTCTCACTTTGGATATGTCCTCCATTTTGGTGAGCAAACTTGGAGAAAGGTCCATCATCCGAACCTGACCCTAGCGGAAGCTGGAGTGAAGGATGGTGACACCATCCGGTTTACTGGTGACTTTGAGCCAAAGTAGAATCCCTTGGAATCCCATGGATTTTAGATAATTTTAGGTGTCTCAAAATGAAGGATCCAACAACAAGATGCACCTTGTTACAAAGTTTGGTGAGAGCTTCCATGGAGTACCTCTGTCGGATCCTTCAAAGAATTGTGGACATGAATTTCACATGTTTCCTCACTGAAGTGTCACAGGACACTCCTCATTTGTGTGGGGAATCAGTTGGGAGACATAGAAAACAACACCTTTCATGCAAAAACAATGGGAACACGTGTTCCAATTCGAGCGACCTGCATTTCCTCAAGGGAATGTTTTTGAGTGATTATTTGTACAGCATTGATCCTGACAGCTGTCGGCAAGAGATTCGACAGAAGTCGGCTTGCAGATCGCTTGCCATTGACATACAGAGTTTACAGGGAAAAGGCATGTGATGTTCCACTTTATTTGCTCGTACAGATTGTTTGGACGGGAATGTAAAAGAAGCATGACTCCTTTGGATCTCTTTGGGTCAATGCATACAGTCTTTCATCAAGATATCCACCGGTGTCCAGGCTCCTGTCGTTGCTCAGCAGTCCATTGCAGAACCTCCTGGCCTACGAGTTGCACCGTGGACCCATGACAGGTGCTGTGGGATGGATCTTGGCAAAAGTCCTGGGTCTACCTTGCCATGCATCATTTGCCATTCATTTCATGGTTTTGATGGGATTGATGGATGTTGATACTCGTATGTTTTGATATTGCACCATATTGTACCAAAAAATCACGAATCTCATGAACATTCATGAATAATGACTGATATCAGACCAATCATTTGCTATGTGGTCATGCTATGATCACCGTTGAATAAAAATAAACTCTGCCGGACTCGTTGACTCGAAAGGTGTCGCCCTGGCGACAGGTCACCCCTTCTTCAGCCTGCTGGACCAACATATGCAGCCGGTGATGTACAGCTTGTGTTTGGTGCCCAGAAGGGGCCGAGAATTTCTCGGGGTTCAATAAACCCACCATTGGTTTACCCCATAAAAACAAACCAAAAAACGGGAAATGGGAAACCCCGGTTGTTTTACCCACTATTTGTGGCATGTCTTGAAAAAGGCTTGTTGTAGAATGTTGTAGATTCTGATTTCTTCTGAAGTTTGAAGTCGAATATCATGGATACATTGCCATTGCTTGGACCCCAAACTGTCATGGCTGTGCTGACTTGCGCTTCCCTCAGAACCAACCCAAAGAAATGACCACCCACCGGGATGTTTGGTCAGAATTGCCACCAAGTGGGATAATAATCTGGTTTGTGGTTTCAAACATTGTTTATTTTCCATAATATATGGGATAATCCTTCCCATTGACTAATATTTTTCAAGATGGTTAAAACATGTTAAAACCACCAACCAGTACCAGTAATACCCTTTTGGTCAACACACACATGGCAATGACAGTGGACCATGCGACGTGGGCATCCGCTAGTGCAGGACTTGCAGATCTTGCAGATCTCAGATTCATAACGGGCCTATCATTCAATGCTTAGTTCAGATCACAAAAGACACTCAATTTAAATACACAAATATGTTAATATTTTTTTATAAATAATATATATAATATATAAAGACACATAAGTCACATAATATACTATCTAGCCATACACTACGTATATCTATATCCTATGCATAACTGGTGATACCATGTATTATAGTACAGAACTATATACATGAAAGTCTTTATCTCCACAAATCATACAGCTAAGAAAAATACTTGCTTCTCCAAACTACTCAACGTGAATCCTCCCGAGCTAAAAAACGTGGGCCAAAGGCCATACGGCCATGAAGTTCAAGCACTTCGCGATGGAGGACTGCAGAACAAGGGAAGATCACCAAGAATGACACGGGAGAAAATATGATATAATTAACTACAGTAGATATAATGGTTTATGCGTAGTGAGATCAAGAATAATGAACAATACAGGGCAAAGGATGGGTTACAACCAAGAATGAAGAGAATGAAGAGAATGAAGAGAATGAAGAGTACTGAACAAACGGGGGAAAACAGCCACCAAAACTCCCAAGAGGATATGGTTTTGACCCCCCACCGAACAACACGTCTATCTTAACCTGGAAGTTCCGAAGCCCAAACCGGGCCACTTCCAATAGTGAAATGATCTTTTGCCTGGGATGTCCGTTGAATCTCCGTTCAGAATCATCATTGTTTCCCCCAATTTCTCGCGTCTTTTTTTGGGATTGCACTTTTCCTTGCTCCATGTTTCAAATCAAACAGAAAACGCCAGTACCCCCACAACATGGAAGGTAGTTTGTTGGTGGTTTCAAACATGTTCTAATATGTATAATATATATATATATCACATTATATCACCGAGGATTGATCCAACATGGTTTTCTTTAGTCCTGTGGCGGGGCGAAAACAGTCGATCCTGCAGGACATGTGTTTCGTGGAGGCCGAAGGAGGCAAGTTCATGTGGGTCCTCATTGAGGGCTCCTTCTCGTACATCCGTGCAGCGAACTTGTACAAGCCCGGGACTCAACGGGCTCAACGGAGGGGTTTGTGGCTCTTAACAGTGGTAGAGAGCCCTGAGGTGTGGATTCAACTGGTGACAGCAATTTATTGGTGGATTCAACCGATTCAACCATGACTATATTTCCACATCTGCTGGTTTTTATCCGGATGATCCAGAGGTGATTGAGAAGTCCAAAGACTGTGGTGACAAGAACAGGATGAACCGACAGCTAGCCCTCTACCATGGGGTAGTTCAATTTTAGAACACCAAAATGGGGTTCGTTCTGTTGGTCCCCAATGCCTTTTCCATTTTGGAGTGACTAATTGATTGAAGTCAGTAATTCAGTGGCACCTACTGGGGATGTTTGGGATCACCTTTTCCCCTAGCGCCAAGTGAGAGCCAGGTTGTTTTTGCAGGTACTGTGTTGAATGACCATGGATGACCATGGCATAACATGGCACGTGCTCACGTTTTTCATATTTTTCGAATGTTGAGTGGTTCAAACTTCAGGTCGTGATCCCAATCCATGACCAGGTAAGACCAACATCCACAAACATGCAGATTCCGTAAGCAGTTCCCAGTGGGATGGGACCATCCATGACCATCCGATGATTGAAATCTGCCTTGCAGATTGAGCACCCCGGGCACCTGGTTGTCGGAACCGGTGCTTTGGACGTCATGGTGGCATCGTGGCAATTTGGAGGCCCCCCAAGTCGGGCAAGTCACTAAGATCGCTACGGGAGGGGCGATCAAACTAAGTGTGATATGTACATGTATGACTTGTATGTTACCACTATTATGTATTATGTATTATTATGTCATATAAGTTATATTGATATTGATACAGACTGTATATATGATATAATGTATATATACATATGGATTATATCAAGAAGGAACGCTGCTCTCAATCAGGGCATATTGCATATTGGTTCCACAAATCCAGCAGCGAGATTTTGGAACTGGCCCCCCGATGACAACATGCAGCTCCCAAAAATCCAGTTGAAGAAGTTTCCTCTTGAGCATTCCAATGTTTCAATTAAGTTAGGAATTATATATATATATCTTAGATGGAATTTGTTTAATTATGTCAATGATATTCAATGATAAACATTCCATGAATCAATCCCATGTTCCATGGAAGATTTCGGGTTGAATCCAACCCTTTGCCAGGCTGCGAGCACCAGTGGACAGTCCTTGGATCCCAGGGGGGCGACATGGTGGCCATGGATCCCCAAACATGTCATGATGTTTCGGCCAGTTCAGTAGACCCCGGAAGTCACTAAAATGATTTTAGATGATATTAAATGAACAAAAATGAATTATTAGGAACTTGTTATTGATGATTTCGTTAGTTTGATCCACCTATGGCTTGGATTGGTGGTACAAAGGACGACTGCGTTTGAAGGATGGGTTGGACTGGGCAACCAGTGCAGCTAGTTGAGCTTTCCAATAAATTGGAGATTTTGAAAGGACAGACAAGTGGTTCCCAGCCGAACATCATAGACATTAACGACAAAAAAAAAGTCGGTCGGTGCCCATCCTTCTCGGAAGCTGTTCGACCCAATGAAGGTCCAAGATGTCCGGCTCCGATTTTTTTGGCTCAGATGAAGTGCTTTCCCCGGCCCTTGGCCGAAATATAGACAAGGGGCCACCTGGGGGAGCCCATTAGAGGTGCGACCTGGACATGTCCGGATCATGCCATGGAAATCCGCCACCGGGAACCCCTAAGTTGATGCCCCTGATGAAGATTGTATGTGAGTCATGATAACCAGATTTGTTCACAACGTTCCATCAGCTAAGTGGGTCAAAGTTTTTCGTTTTTTTCTGGAAGTTCTGCATGTCGCTAGAATGCCTATGCAAAAGTAGAGCATGTGGGCAAGCTTATATCCGGGCCACCCTGGACATCTATGTGGTGAGAGTCATGACAGTCTGGCAAGATAGATGTTTCTGTCTGGGTGGACATGGAAAAGAAAGTATGAATAATGAATAATAAAGGACACTCTGAGGCAATGAGTGAGGCAACAAGTCTGGTACAGTAAGGTCCGATTTGAAATTGAAGTTCATGATGATGCGCAATGGTGCATCAAATTGACTGATGAGAAGGAAAATACGTGAAAATATGTGAAAATACTATGGAGTTAGACTAACCACACTATCGCAGTCCATGAATTGTCCGCAACCATTCCTGGCCTCATCCATACAGTTTCAATGTTGCTGCATGGATATACATGGCAACAGAACAAGTGTAGCATGAACAGCAATTGCAGAGAAACTCCGCTCATCTTTGCTGACTCGAGTGATTGCAGATCTGTTTGAAGCACTACTAAAAACCAACGTGTTTTTCGGATGGAGTGAGATATTATTTACTACTTGAATGATGAATTTGAGAATCAATGAATGGTTTCACCATGTTTCACCCATCCAAAATGGACGGGTTTTCCCGGTTGAAAGATGGGTTCCCCAGCTCCCCAGGTCCCTAGGCTCCTCCCAGGGTCCTCCCAGGGTCATGGCGAGCCCGACAGCAATGTCCCCGGTGCCTGCGTCTTCACCCTCGTTGTCCTCCAAGGTTGGGATGGGAAGTGGTCAACGAATGTCAACGATATCCTACAGCATTTTACAGCACTGTATGGCTGGGTATGATTGTGAAATTATTGTGAACCACCATGAACCACCTACTAAGGGTGCATATCTAAGTCAGGCCTCACCCTCCTCAAAATGGTTTTGTCCAGAAAACCTCGACTTATGGTATCTTCTGGGAAATGAAATATCAGGGAGAAACGACCAGCAACTTGACCCACGCCGCTGGCTTTTACGGGGTGTGGCAGCCAGGAATGAGGAAATTATAGGAGTCAGCAAAAAATACAAAACTTGTGATTTACCCTCTGAAACTGTCATTAAATCTATATAACATAACTATGGAACATCACCATGCTTAGTGGAAAAACAGTAATGCAGTAGTGGAAGGTAAGCAACCACAACCAGGGATGCAGCCTACAAGAATTGGGTGTGCAACCCTCAAAACTGCAGCAATTTCCCCAGAAGACAAAACTGCCTACTCAAAAACACCGTCAGGTGTCAAGAGGGACCTTTGCACAGCATGCAATGTCAAAAGCGGTGCAGGGTCAACATGGAGACATCACCGAAGAGACAGAGCGAAGGATAGCGACAATGAGAGCGTTCGGGCAGCTCAGTGAATCTATGGTGAAATTGGAACCCCAAATCCAGTGGACTATCATAATTGTGCAGAAAGATCATGAATCATGAAGCATAAACAACTTTGGGGTATCCCGGGTATCCCGCATTTCATCCGTGGTATACCATCAAGCATGCCCCAGTCATCACCATTTTTATATTTTTTATAGGTGGTAAATGGGTGGTTTATGGCATCGTGAACTGGATCTGAGGCCCCGAGTTGAGCCACTCTGGCACCACCACGACCGGAAGGCCATGAAGTCGCCAGCTCAGAAATCGGGTGCCGGGGAAATCCTAAGATGTGGAGAAAGCTACCATGGTTGTATAATATGATCATGTTGTATAGTAGATGGGATACACATGGATCATGGATATAGACGGGATGTATGTATCTAGATATGTCCAGATATGTATAGTATTTGATTTCATGTATACATGGATATAATTGGATAATATTGGATATATATATAATTATATATATGTATATATATATATGCATCCAAGTGATTCCAAGTGGGTGTTTCCAGGTTTGACTGATGAGGATTACCCCATTCATTGCCGCTTTTGAGTCAGACCTGATTTCCGGTGCTGTCTAAGGAGTGGCCAGCGAGGGACTATCTATTGGGCCTGTGCTCCCAGGGTTGCGTTTCAGTGTGTTTCCAGCTATGAGGATGAGGGTGATGTTAATGAGGAGGATAGTACAGCATAGTACAGATTCTCCTCCTCCTCCTCCTCCTCCTCCTCCTTGATTTCAATAAATGTGATGATATCATGATTGTTAGATGTGTTGTTATTACGTTTTTCTGTTTGATGATTATGAATGAAGAGGGGGAGGATGACGACGATGACGATGACACGCGTGTTCACCCTGCTCAACTTGTCGGTCTTGGCAGGTCCCATTTGCCTTGCGCATGTCGCGCAGTGATGCTTCTCTAAATTCATCACGAACTGGATGAATATCCCTCTAGACAAACCATCTGAAGGAACTTTAGTCACTTCCCCATTTTTCCGATTCTGTCACTATGTTGTTTTATAATGTCATGAGTCATAATGTGTTTTTAATGTTTTGTATATTTTGTACGTTTTTATTTGTTTGTTCTGTTTTTTTAGTTATAACCCGTAAATCCATGGGATTGAAACCTCCGCACGAGGTCGGAAAGCAGATCCTGGCGGAGGAGAGTGGCTGTGGGTCACTGCCACTGATGGTTGATCACAGGGATGAGATGTAGGAAGAAATTGGAGGAACAGGTGTCTTTTTCCTATCAAATGCATGTGGGGGTTAAGACCTGTCAAATCAATTTCAAGCAAATCTACTTACAATACTTACTTACAGTCAAATTCCCTCCATCTCTAACCAATCCAATGATTTTAGGGATAGAACTTACCATCCTTTCGGAGGTACGGCTTGATGTCTCTTTTGATTTGATGTCTGTTTTCGGTGGTATGGTACCATCCATGACATTGTTGGCATGAAGCTCCATTTACAGAACAAAGGCGAAGCCCCAATAAGCTCTGAACGTGTTTATTGAATCATCAGTGGCGTTTTAACCCGCCCCCAAAAACGTGGGATTGGAGCTGTTCTGAGCATAGGAGTTGAAAAGATCTTGAGTTGGAATATACAACTTGTCGCCAAGATAACATGCACAGCTGCACAACTTGTTGATTTTCCCGCCCCAGGACGGATCGAAGACTGGAAAGGTGGAGAAGGGAGCCAGTTACCAGGGAGAATGGGATGGTACCAGCCTCAGCTTAGACAGCTGTGAATTGCCAAGATAGCTTCACTTTGACTGCTGGACGAGCTAGTAAAGGAAAGTCAATTAGATGTGTTTGAAGGATAATTAATGACATTTGCAGGTTGCAGAAGGTCTCCTTCCTACACCTTGTGCTTTTGTTTTGGGGTTGCGAGTCAGGTGCAAAGTCAGGATGGCTGTCCAAAATCATGCTAACTGTGGTAACTTCATGAACATCCCAATGAAAGTTTCGCGAGTCGGGGTTCTGAGGCAATCAGAAGAATGGATACGGCGTACAGGCGGGGCCGCTGAGGTGTGCTGAGGTATCCCTTGAGGTATTTGAGGTGGCATAGACCCAGAGATTTGGGCGATTCTTTGGATTCTATATATATATAATTGCATCTAATTGCTAAAATATAAACATGTGGTAACAAGATGATTAATCATCCATTTGAAACCATGTAAGTAGAGGATAAATAGCGATTTTAAAGCATCCCCACGAATGAACAATCTCAGAATGAGTCGCATCCATCACGGAATAGTTTAGCAGCAATGGTGTCTCGGTCCAAGTTCGGACTCCAAAGGAAAGTTGCCACTTGGTACTGGTATTACATATTACCCCCCATAACTATCCAGAACTATCCAATCCATAAGTGGGATCTATTTGGTTTACACGCACCACTTACATTTTCCGTTTACCAGCTAGAACTGAACCATCCAAGGGTCTTTCAGAACTTCCAAGTCCTTCCGCGGGCTGCACTCCGCAGGTTTTTCCGAACGGCCAGAAATACGAGGGCCAATGGGCCAACGGTATGAGGCCAGAGATGTTTTCACATGGTGAACAACTTGCAAGCCCAAACAGCCAAGAATCTGCAAGAAATAACCTTTGAGCATGTTGTAAGGAATTTACACGTCCTTAGAGGCGTTTGAAATTCTTTGTCAATGGTGGTGAGTGATCCAAGCCGCCATTTCTTGATTAAATTTCAGGGAGATACCCCCTCGAATGGGGATGACTCTCCCAGTGGATTCCTAGCATTATTTGCGGGTCCATGTTCTACTTTGGGGATGTTTAATCTCTAGTTTTGTTGGTTATATCATGTTATATCATGTCATATCTCAAGATTTGGTACTTAAATGTCAGCTTATGGTTGGCTGCTGATGGCTACTGATGGCTGGCCATTGAAAATCTCCATCCTTGCTGTTTAAATCCCCAAATTCATCGACAGGAATGGTGAGGGCACGCTTTGGGTGCCTTTCGGAAAGGCCTGGGTCGAATTGTCATTTGTTGTGTACTGTGGAAAGCTGTGGAAATCAGAGGTTTGGACCATGTGATTACCCCAATTATATGATATTATATGTGTGGAAATCAACTATGAGTCAAATGTGAAATCAGACGGGGAGAAAGAAGACATGGTCCCAAAATCGGTTCAAGGTACAAAGAGTATACATGACTCGGTGATCAAAACGGCTATACAACCCGCAATGTGCCAAAGGCCAAAAAGCTTCGAAAGCTGTACGTCGGTGGCTGGAAGGATGACAAGAGACACGGTCTGCGGCTCAAGTTCCGGATGAAAACAGAGCTGCCTGAAGGAGGTAGTTCTTGGGCCGACCCTGGAACTTTCAGCAGACACTTTACTGCTCAGGTCGCGGAACTTGCTTCTTCAGCGATGGTCAGTTCTTCCAGGGCGACTGGACTGAGGCTGGACATGGAGGTCACCAACATGGCCGTAAGCCCCCAAAAGATGAGGAAAAGAGATTAAGTGTAGTACGTTTTGAGTGGATCCTGATCCCTCTAAATTTGATGATGATTTACTGTATATATCATTATAATTCATTATATATCTATTCTGTCATTTTGGGAGATGGTTATATATACTGCAATTGCATGCAATTGCTGTGAATTATATTATAGTCATAGTGTATAGTATAGAGTTTAGATACTTGTATTTATGATATTCATCGTGATTTGAAATGGATTGATATGGCAAGTAAGCCTTAAGAATCTTACCAGAAACGAACTGAGGGATTTGGGTACTTCTCAGAAAATGGGGAACCCCAGAATCACCGCAGAATCACTCGGTGACTGCACGGTATCCTGTCGTTTTCGTTTGAAGGCACATGATGATTTGGATGTACAACCCTTTACCGGACCCAGTGAGGATGAATGACTACAATCAGACCAACTGATAGAAGTCCTGATGATCAAGATATATGAAGATCTCCATACACACACCAGTGAAAAGTCTTATCCCAAGAGGGTGTTGGCCACTGCACAAGTGGCCCAGGGGAAGATGCATGGCGAGGGCTTGCTTCGATATAGCAACGGTCACTTGGATTCTACGCAGAAACTGAGATGGATCATCCCCCAAGATCTTCCAACTAAAAGCAATCAATATACTGAGTTCATTATTGATTGGAACAGTCATGTTCTCAATGCATGTGCATTTTGTTTAATTCATGTTGAATTTGCAGGAAAGCTCATGGTCGACCCCCGGCAGCCACCGACCCCTCCAGATCTTTGAAAAATGTATCACCGGCGACTGGTCATTCCATAGTATCCTACAGTCTGCAATAGTATTTGTTGGAAGAGCAATTGGAGTTGCCTTTTTTGAATGACCTCATCTGGATTTTAAAGATGATAAATATAATATATATATATACATATATTGTAAATCCGGTAGCACCCCTGTCAGAACCAAAAATTGGTGGAACCCTTCCACAAGTATCACCTGGACTGCCGCCTCACAGTCTTTTGACTCTGATCGCACCAGCTGTCACCTCAGCTAAGTATGGCTGTCCACAGCCTGCCGAACGTGCCACCAATGGCTCTCCGATAGGGATGTTTCCCTCCCACCGCTGCACCTTGGGCTCCCTGAGCCGAATCCCTACAGGTAAAAGCGGATGGCAAAACTGGATGGACCCGGGAATCAAGAGGCATATGCATGATGTTGGAAATGAGTTCATTCACATTCCCAAAAGTTCAAAACTTTATTGATTAGAACTCATTTCCTCAGCGGTGGTTTTGAGCCACTTCAAGCGGTTACGTGCATTGGCCCTGCTTTTGAGTATTTCATTTTCATCATGTAGGCAATAACGTCCTTGACGAAGGGTCTCTCTTAGGAATTGTCCTTCCATGATTTTCGTTAAGGCATCTGCTAATTGAGCTCCAGAGTGGACCCAGTGCAGTCGGATGTTCTCAGCCAACATGTCCTTGATGGATCGGGCCAAAAGCTGGGTCCGATATTCCTGACAACTCGGGACTGCAGTACGTGTTGTAAGGTCAAAAAGACTCTTGCAATCAGTTATCGCCAGATCTTGTTCGTCAAATTTGATAGTAGGAACTGTGACTGCTTCTGGAATATCTTCTACAGTCTCTGGTCGCTGCCATGGAACATTGGGATTCAGGAGCCAAGCCCAATAGATTCGGATCCACGTTAACTGGTCTAACGTGGTCGACAACGCTGATGTCTCTGCTGACAGCGTGCTTGTCACGACCCTTTGGATCTTTTTTGTTCCCCAGGACAAAGGGCTGATAGCACATGATTTGTTCTTGGAAATGTCCTTGTGTGTTGCCATGATTATCATTCCTGCGTATGATTCCGGCTTTGCTTTGGATGCAAATGAAGCATCTGAAAACGCAAGAAAACGCAAGTCTTTGATGGCGATTGGATTGATTCGAATGATGACATCACTGTGTTTCTTTGCGGTATGAAGGGTTTTATTGGCCATTATTAATGTGGTTACCGTTGCTTTGTTAATTTGGGATTGTAAATGGCTAAGTGAACTGGTCAAATCAGGACGGGTGTGTACGGCTGCATATTGGAGTGAACCGATTAGACCTCTCAGCAAATGTCTTTCCTCCTCTGTCACTGGTTCATCTTCTTGAGCTCGTCGATCACTTTTCAGCACAATTGGATTGATGTTTCTGATGTATTGGGATTGTGAAAGTTCAATGCTATTGTCTGGATTTTGGTGGAGGTCAATTCCAGTGAAAGTGAATGATTGAGATTTCTTGGAACCGAAAGGATATTTTTCTTCAAGCTTGGAAATTTGATCTCGGAAAAATTGATCACCCCCATAGATGCCATCGTCTACATGGATTCCAAGTACTCCGGAGAGTTCATGACTGTTTGGATGTCAAAGTACAAACGCGCACGGATCAAATGGACTTGGCTTGAAACCCAGGCTCTTGAGTTCTTCTTGAAGGGTTTGGAACCACAGATATGGTGCATCAATCAAACCGTATGCGGATTTGTCGAGCTTGCAAATCTCGTGATTTTTCAAGTTCATTGCTCTTGCAAGTTCAACAACTGGATCTAAGCCTATTACCCTATCCTTTTGGGGTTTCCCCTGCAAGAAGGCTGCCTTGATGTCAAATGATCCTAACGACCACCCCATGGACGCAATGAGTTGCAACAACAGCATTTTAGATTGCTTACCCAGTGTGGGGCTATCCCGGGGTACCTCAGTTAATTGGGGATCCATGTATCCAAGTACCACAAGACGGGCCTTTGGCTTATGTGACTTCAGCTTACTTTCAGTGGACTGAGCATCCGGTGTCTTTCCGTCCAGTGCTTTCCATGTGAGTATCCAGCGGCATCGAAGGATCTGCTCCGGAGCGAGCTTTGCTCTCAGAATTCGGGACACCGTACCGGTCTTGATCCAATTTTGAACCTCTGCATCCTTGGCAGCTGCAAAAGCCTTTTGTTCCTCTGATGAAAGGACCGACAGCTTTACTTCTGTCCGTTGTTTCTTTTCAGTCGTTGCCATAAGCAGTTCATCAGGTGAAAGCACTTTTGATTTTTCGGGGTCTATCCATGTAGGAACTTCCAGCTCACAGCGCCATGCGCAGGGCACTTCCGCAGGGTCAACATGCATGATAACATCTTCACAACACAGTAGATGGGTTGTTATGAGTTCATCATCTTCTGTGGATTCGGGGATTGGTGTCTCAACTGCTGGATCATTTTCCTCTTCATTTTGAGATTCTGGTGGTGTCTGACTGGCTTCGGGTTCAAGGTCTGGTTGATCTTGGGATTGACTGTGGTCATCTTGATTGGACTGAGTTTCGGGACTATTAAGAGGATTATTGGAGTTATTCATGATATTGGGATTATCGGATGGAATAATTTCAGGTGGGGTTACTTGAATTGACTGACTTGGTATTGAGTGTTGGTCTATGATGGGAATCTGTGACACCTCGGTGGAACATACTGGACGCACGTGCTCCAAGGCTCGGCGATATAGTTTTCCCCCCTGGGTAGCCCAAACAGAGTTGCGATCTTCTTGGTTTACTACCTTAAGAGGTCCAAACCAGTGTCCTCCGTTTTGTTCAGGTTGCCACAACATTACCCACTCTCCTGGATGATATGCATTGCGGTCTGGTCTGGACCTGCGCAAGCATGCACGTCGCAAAGCCATGTCGTTGTCTGTTTGGTGATAGGCCACTCGGGCCTTCTCTCGCAACGCTAGGCTTTTTCGAAAGGAAATTCCTTGAGCATCCTCTCGGTCTGCACTGGCCAGGGATGATACCGTGTCACAACTTGTTATTGAGCCAGGGATTCGAGAACTTTTACCAAACACCAAAACTTCGGGGGAAAAACCTTTTCGAATGCTCAACGTATTTTTGGCATGAGTACATTTTACCGCCAAGGCTAATTGAAGTTCTTGATAAGTTTGGATGGGCATCTCCTGGTCTATCTTGTTTAACATGGATTGTAAAATTTGGCCATGCCTTTCACTGCGACCATTTTGCCAATGTGCGTGAGGAGCTGATGTAATGGACTTCACATCAAACCTTTGGAGAAACTCTGAAAAATATTCACTTGTGAATTCTGTACCAGAGTCGGTTACCATCATGTTTGGGGGTCCCGCCCATTGAAACCAGCTCTCGGATACGCACTGTGCGGCTTGTTCTGCTGCTCGGCTCGGTGCAGGCACTGCCACATGGAAATTTGTGGCCTGATCCAGGATATGGTAGAAATGGAACATCTTTCCTGCCTTGCTTTTCCAGGTGACTCCATCTATGAAAACCTTGTCATTGAAATCCAGCTCATGTTTCAACGTGCTTGGTCTTGCAATCTTGGGTTTCTGTTGAGCTGCGCAGGTAGCGCATTTCATGTCAAAAACTGCTTGGGAAATCTCTGGTCTTACGCCCTGATTTCGAAGTACCATGCTAAGCTGTTCTGGACTTGGATGACAAAGGTTCTGGTGGGCGCGCCGCAACATGGCCTGCTCTTCACGGGGCAGTGCCAAGAACCTGTTGTTCTTGGAAGCATTGTCCTCTTGTTCCATGGGATTTTGGGATTCAGATTCAAATGCCTTTTGGGAGTCTTGATTATTAGTTGTTTCCGAGATTTCTGCCTGCAATGGCTCCAGGGAAACCTCAGGCATTCTCTCTGCATCCTCGGTGGATTTTGGAACCTCCATCCGGGAGTTGGGACTGCTTTCCGATCCGGCTGCAGGCATTGGTGCGCCACTGCTCTCTTGGCTGTGGTTGGTTGCCACTGGATTAGCCGCAAAGACAGTTATATTCACTCGACATGGGTAGGATTTTCGGATGATTTTTCTTTTGGCAAGCTCATCATACTTTTCCCATTGGTCAACTACAATTTTTCCTGTACTTCTAAGCTTCATGATGGATCTTCGGTATGGGGCCTCTTTTGCACTTAGGTTACTCGGTGGGGCCATGGTCCTCTCGGTACCCTTACATGCGATTACCCCTTTCATAATCTTCTCAGGAAAAGTTGCTTGGATTTTCTGAAGGATTGATGGCTGGCCAATTTGATTTTTGCCTACCCTAGGTAGAAATGATTCGACTTCATCCATGATTTCTTTCCATTTTGGGTCTAAGTGTTCTTGACCTTTATCATCTCCTGGAGTTGACTCCACGGCTGCTTCTGGCTGTTTGCCTCGTCGGCGTTTCTCTGGGGAAGAGCTGTCGAATGACCTGCCTGCGGACGACAGCTTGGCTTGTCGAGGAAACGACAACTTCTGGCGCTTTGACATGCGGTCTTCGGCTGCAAGTGCACTATTGATTTGAAACCATTGATCTAAAGCTATCAACGCAGGATCACTATGTGACCAAATGGAATTTCTGGAGGAAATTGCTTCTTCAAAATTCCCTTGGCAACCAGTCGTGCAAACTTGCGGGGATACCGCTCGGAGAAAACGCTTCTCGCAATTCCACAGCCTTGCCACCGTGTCATGCCCTCAATGGGTTGATGATCATGGGATCCATTGCACTTAAGGGGATCAATCATGTCATGGATTCTTCGGGAAGTGGTAAGAATGTTCATTCCTTTTTTCATCGGCTTCATGTTCATGGGATCATGGAGGTCTCCGGCAGTGCACATGTCTGGCTTGGCACTTTGCATATACCGACTAAGTTCATCTAAATAAGGCAGCAGAAACATGTGAGACCCTTTTGGTTGTTCCCAGTGTGCATGACGGCGATAGCGGTGCTGGCAACGACAAAGCACCAGGCAAAGGGCCACTTGGCTCAGCATGTCATTTCGGTCGGCATGGATTTTATCCCACAATTCAATGGACTTTTGGCAATTGAGGTTTGACCAACTGGACCATGGTTTGCATGTGGGACTCATCCAGACATGCTTGGGCCTATGTCGACACACGGCGGTGAACAAGATCCTTCTACCCTCAGCTTTCTGGAGATTGCCTTGGCTGAGTCCAAAACGCATGGCTTTTCCACCTTGTTGGAGAACCTGTTCCGTGAGACTACTTTGATCACTGCAGAAAACTTCAATCAAATCCACTTGTGGGCCCCGAACTTTCATGTTCTGTTCAATTGCATTGAGTTCTTTTTCCATGGTATTTACCAATTGAAAAAACCGAGTACGTTCTTGATTGTTCTGAGTGCTTGTGAAACTGTCAAT